TTATCAACTACTAATGCTTCACATCTTGTATATTACAGTATCTCCTCGCTATCTAGCCTCGCCCTTTGCTTCGCACTCCTCCTCCTCCCTCCCGCACTTACTGTTCCCCTTCTCCCTTCATACCAACCATATATCATGTGACTTTGTTGAATGGTCGCAAATGGTCCCTCACGTGCACGACCATTTTGGCGTCACGTGAGACCATTTTTGGTCCACCCCTTCGCATGACGAAGTTGCCACTTACAAGGCATTTTATGATGCATGTGACCAGATTTATAAGCCGGTGGCATTGTAAAGGTCATTTACCTTTTTTGTGCTACCATTTCTGGTCATGACTCATCATAGTACTATCATTCTGGGTAATCTGCAACTAGCATGTAATATGCAAAATGTTCAAAACACCTCAATGCACTGCTCAACTCACTTCAAAAAAATTCAGGCATATGTAGACTACTTATAGATGATGTATTGTCCAAGTAGAATGAAAATTTCTTGAGTGTTGCAGCTGCGAGAGATGAAATAGTGGTAATTTGTAACCATGCAGGAACATAAATCATCCAGATCCCATAGATCCTACAGATATATTCACAAGGTTATACCTGGAGCATAACAACCACCTTGTCAGGATTCCAGAACACAATTTCGATAAAGGTCATCCTGTTGCCTTAAGATGCTATAGAGGAAGAATTGACGACATGTATGAAAACATGACAGCAGATAGGAGAGAGTGTAAGAAATTCAATCTCCTCTATGGCACACTCGGCTAGTGCACAGCATCTGCACTCTCCACACCAAGTCTTGCATTGTGTTGTGTTGTGTTGTCTCCTCTTGCATCATTCTTGCATCCTTGTTACAATGGCACCAAACCACAGGTGTACTATCTGTCAGAAGAAAGCCGAAGCAAGACATGATTTGTCGAAATTCAATGCACGAACCATTTGGTGGCTATCAACCACAGCCTATCCCTCCGAGTCAATCCTCGATGTTGTGCTTGGATCTTCCCCCACCCAGGTATGCACCCCCATATTATCCCATGCACCATTCTGCACCTCAGCTTCAGCCTCCACATATTCCTCACTTTGCGCCGGCTGGTAGGGCAGATGTTCGAGTTGGTGGTGAGGCACAGATATATGATGTCACAGGCCATCAGCTCTATTCAGGACCATATCACCAGTACAATGACAATAACTACATGAATCACGATACTTAATAATAATATATTGCTGTATTCAGTATTTTCAGAGCTTCGCACAACTTCAACTTCAAGATTCAAGCCCAGTGAGCATTGGACATTTGGAAATCTATGCAAACATACATAAATCGTAGATTTTCACTGCAACATATTTCCATAGAAAATGGGACACATAGTAGATTATAAATCTACGCAAATATTGGGACCTCAATGTTTTGTTTTCCATAGCAGCGGAGCAAAATATATGAAAAACAATGGAAAACGATGCATTTCGACTGCATGTACAAAATATATGGAAAACAACAGAAAACGACTGCACATACAAAACTGGCTGATACAAAATTAGGCTCCCTACTGGTCCTGCTCCCGCTACCCATCCTGTGTCTACATGCACTCCTACGTGCTCGCAATCCTGTTCATTCGGCTAGTAGACTGTTCCGCTCAATACATTGAGGACAACATCAGCTGTGTTTGCGTGCCAGACACCCGATGCAACCTGTAGATAGATCAGTATGGTAGACACAATGCAGATGTACCACTTACCAGTTGAGCAGCTTCAAGCTTGTATTTCTGATGAAAATGAGCTCATAAGGCCGCTGTTTGACCAAGACACAGTAGTACTCACCTTTTTTGTGTCCTTCAGCAAGGCAGTCCAATAGATCTTGAAATCGGCTGTTGTCCCATCCTTTGCAACTCCATTTAACCAGCGGTGCACGCAAAGGGTGCTGTAGTATATGACATTAGCACTTTGCACTGCATCGGTAATCAGATGCTTACCGTCCGTTCTTGTTTGGGTCAGGTCGCATGCATTTCGCATTTGTTGTCGATGCTGATGGTGTTGGACTCAGAACGGCACTGTCAGAAGCTGATATTATTGGCGGGGTAACATTGGATGGCCCGAGTTTGGATTCAGTGGGAGATGGGGCACTGTTATGACCCACGTTCACCAATAATGATGAAGGAGAGTTCACGACCACTAGGACTCGGTCAAAGATGATGAGGAACAGAGTTGGATTGAGCAAGAACGTCTAGGTCACTACAACAGTAGAAACAAAGAGGTTAAGTCTAAGGAGCTCTTACGCTAACTACCCTACTCTTATACATAACATTGAGTCGGAGATATCTGGGTACGAATGAAATCAGCCAATGAGAAAAGAGTCGTACGATACTGCGGATGAGTAAGTATGACATCATGATATATAAGCGACTAAGTAAGACGGTTACTAAATAGAAACCCAAGATCCGACCGGTTCTTCTTTAGGAAGCGAGATTGTTCTAGCCCGTGGAGTAGGGGAGCCAATCGGAGAAGCAACGGGTGACCTATGATGAGAAGTCACGTGACTGGCTCGGGTACTAGAAGTAGCCGAAGGAAAACCGAGAAATGAAAAATGGTTCGTATTTGGGATTCATGACAGGCACTCAGTGAGGTATCCATACGGGGGGTGGTAGTCATAGCAGAGGGTATCATGCGAGGGAGAGGACGAACAGCGGATTTACCGTTGAGCACATCACTAATAGACTTTGCATAAGAAATTCATCAATGCATGAAAATAAAACTCACAGTGGATTTTTTATTACTGGAAATGTTGAAATGGTAGCGCTCTGAGTAGTTAAAAATGAGCTCATAGATAGTACTAAAAAATGCAAACATACCTTTGCATCAAGAGACAAATCAGCCTCGTTTGTTGTGGAAGAGTCTGTATGAATAACTGATGGTGTACTGGTGCTGATGACATTTACATCACGAGGGCTTTCATGTTGGTCAGACTCGGGTGCAATCTTGGGACTTGAGGGTGTTAAGGAAATGGGGGTCTCAAGATTGTTGTGACCCAACTTTGGCTTCTTGGAAAGCAGTGGAGAGTCGGTGAGCTCGTCACTCGAGTCCTCAATACTACTAGTAGAGAACAATGTAAGTGGGCGCTTTTTTACAAGCTTCTCATCTGAAAGCGCCAGTTTGTTCTCATCATCATGTGAGTTGATGGAAGATGGCTCGGACTTGACAACCTTGGGTTTGACTGCTGCTTTTGATCTTTGAGGTGCGTGCTTGCCCATGATGGGTATTGCTCGGTTGCGATGTAGTTGATCTTCCAGTTGTCCATACATAGACCCAGTTCGGGATGCTTGGTCACCATTTCCTGTTGAAACAGTTCCTGGAGTGCCGGATCACCTTTCTTCCACTTCAAAGGTGCTTGGTTTTTGATCTTGAAACCTTGCCATAGCTCGCACATACTCTGACAGATTGCAGCCTTCTTCACACGTGAGAGAGATTGGCCATTCACATCCTCTAAAAAAGGTAATGATCCGCATTCTTTCATATTAGCATCCGCACATCTGAGCCATGTGTTGAATTGCATTGATGTGAAGAATTGAAGCTTTGAGTGGTCAATGGGGGGAGCCTGTGGAGTAACAGGTTCACAACCCTGTGAGTTCAAAGTGCATACGAGCTTTTGAAGTGCCTCTCTAGTATAATTTACAAATGGGTCAGAATCATATCTACAATTTTTGAATGTAAACATGTACTCGATGGCTGCTTTACCTACAGCTAACATAAGATTCTCTTGGCAAAGGCGCTCGTTATCTTTGAGAAGGCTTTGAATTTGGTCCAACGAGTGCATATATCCACTTTGCTGATGATCATGATGAGTAATGGGAACCAGGAGTGGAACAAACTCACAGTTCGTGCAAGTGGTTGTATCATGTTCCAGGACGAGGAACCTGCCAGTGGAAGTTGAGGCTGATTGTTATTATGCTGCGGGGTATCTAGAAAAGGATCTTGAGATAATCCAAAGGTATCCAAAAGAGGGGAAGATGTGTTCATGTCTGGTGTTGAAAGACTTGAAGAACCTGAGTCGTCTTGATTAAAAAGAGTAGTACCAGAATTATACAGAGACAAAGACAAAAGATTGTTGTGGTTTTGAGAGACAGAAGACTTGTATGTGCTTGGCGTGAAGTTCATGATGGTGGTATAATGATAAGGTGTGTGTTACAATGAAGTCACAGAAGTGAGAAAGGAAATTCACTAAGTTCAGCCTTGCCACCGTTGTGGGTACAACAATTCCGCTGGGTGCAGAAAGTGTTGGATCTTGCTGCCTGCTGCTATACCTGCAAGGAGGTGCATTCGACCCTAGAGGGTTTTTGAACTAGAGCTAGGTAGTGCTCAGAGAGAAAAGTGAATCAAAAGAGCACTGCTCATGGTGGTGGCTCAAGAAGATTGTTTGTTTACATAAGCAGTAAAAATGCGTACATAAACTAAGGAAAGTAAGTAAAAACCATCAATACAAGCCCAGAGTAACATGACTCCCTACACTGTGCATCCCCATATCTGCACCATGCTACTACCTCCAGCTGTCGAAGATTTTCTCAACTTATCATTTGATCCTGATGTGGAAGGTTATGAAGCCAATACTAGATAAGCCTGACATGCATTGCAACTACACAATACAATGATATTTGTACAGCCTAAGTACCAATGCAAATGACAGTGCTGACACTCACTCTAGTACTCCCATCATGACAATGTCTGATGATGTCCTTTTGGATCCAAAAAATTGGTCTTCAATTGCCATCAACAGGTCTCTACGAAGCTTGCAACAACAACCATACAAACCTGATGCTCCGACTGCACCTGCCAATACTATCCTTCCTCTCGCAGATGACCCCAGTAGTGTTACGGAGCCTGAAAGCGAGCCTGATGCTCCGATGGCAACAATGACACCTCGTTTGGACCGTCATTGTATGTTTGCAACTCCAAGTCCCCCTCCTCCTGGGTCGATTTACTGGAAGTATTTTATGAGGGAGGAAGATGCAAAATTTTATGATTGTGCTGGGACGGATGAGAGCTTTCATGCTGTGCGACAGAAAAAAAAAGAACTACAGGCACTTCTAGACAAATAGTTGGTTGCCTTTTGTACTACTGTTAATCAACCTTCCTCCTCATCATCACTGTCTTCTTCCTCATCTTCATCCTCGTTCGTTACTCCAACACTTGCAATATCTAAGCCTGGCTTCTCAATTATGAAAAAGCGATCTTCTTCCACACCAGAAGGCAGTTTTGGGTGGTGCAGAGCCATTTAAACAACTGATTGGATTGATTTTACATCAACCACACACAATGCATCATTGCTGTGATAAGTACATGACCAGAGAGTGCTGTGTGATATGGTGAGCAGCTCATCGTGAGGCAGAGAATACATGGAGACAATTGCAACATTAGCAAATTGCCATCGAGGCTCATCCACATCATCTTGCTGGTTGTTTGGATTCCAGACAGCAACTGAGTGAAGTATAACACTTCTGCAAAATGATCGACACCATCAATTCAAACCTTGTCAATATATTGAGTCACATACACAATGAGTCCTGTTATTTGGGCAACATACTTTCACATTACGAGATACTCTGGTTTTCTCCAAAGGTTTGAGTATTTCTTGCCATGCTGATCAAACAATTTGCCCATTGGGCAACTGCAAACATGCCCATCGGCAGAACCTTGGTGGTGGTCGACCTAAGTAAGCACTGATTGCCGCTGCTTCAGCACCACCAGGCGGAATGGTAATTGGACATTTGTCGGATTTGCAAAGAAGTATATATGATTCACCTAGCTCACAAGCTCCTCGAGGAAGAGAATCACAAGATTTACTATAGCAGGGGAGAATGGCCATGAGAGCATTCACTTGACACCTTTGGATTCCCTGTTGAGCTAAGTTTGAAAATGGGTTTGATGGTTGTTGAATTTCCTGCCCAAGATTGCCTATGGTGCGTTCCATCGTCCACTGCAAGGAACATATTGGTGAGCCTACACAAGTGCATTCCAATGCAAGGTGGTTAGAAAGGTGAATGCATGGGCGAACAAAATGTAGACGATCAACACAATGTTGATAGTAGAGTTCTTCAAACTCTGTTTCCCACTCCGCAAAGCATTCAGAAGCTTTGAGAACCTGGGCTGGAGTGATGCTGTACTGACTCATGAGTCAAAGTCCATGTACGAATTGACAGAAGTTGCGATAATACAGGTCTGGAATCAGGCCGTAAAAAAGTCCAGGCCCATAGCCGAACAACCAAGTAATGTACTCTGCTGCCTTGTAGTATGTGTTGATTTTTTCTTCGGGATTATGAGGGGGTCAGCCAAACAAACCAGGCAAGTGGGGCTGCAATGCAGCAACAACTGCACCATGATTTACCCAAGTTTTGCCTGTGAGAACTGACCACGGCCAATTCTCCTGATCATCACTCCGTCCACATGACATTTCACCATGCCAAATATCCACAAACAGTGCTGCTGTATTAGCGCCAGCAAAATGCATGATCTCAGAAGAAAAGCACTCTGGTACACCCGAGATGTGATCAGGCTGAAGGCCAAGAAGAAAACTCAGTCTGACAATTCCTGTCTGGAGGTGGTGTTGCTCGTACTGCGCTCGGTTTGGTGCTTGCATTAGCAAGCGCAGGCTCTGATAATAATTTGCTGATGTTCCGATTGGAAGATGATAAATGTCGACATTGCCATGATCACAGCCCGCAATGTTGTAGTTGTCGGGCTTAAGAAGGACAGGATAGTAGTGAGGGGCACCAGGCTTTTGACGCCCCTGGAGCCCACAGTGCATACAACAACCATGGCGACCTGTATGCCCAACGAGGTTACTCAACGAGAGTAATCCAGGGCCATCAGTGAGACCGAGAATAAGAAAGAGATATGAGATGAAGTTTGTGTCGCGAGAAGCATCTCAAACATTGAGACCTTCTTTTTGAAGTGTGGAAAGATGGTGGAATCCAGGGAATAGAAATGATTCAATGAACTTGGGCTTCTTGGGTCCCAGTATGATGCCACCAGGTAGGACATGTTTCTTCTTGTAGCGACGATCGGGAGAAAGCTCTGCAACAATCCAGATGTAGATCCAACAATCTGACTCTTTGCTCTCATATAGCTGTGCTCCGTCAAGGGAAACCATGAGGACCATGTCGTTCTCTACAATACAACCTTCTTGAACAGCATTGAGATATGCACTGCCTGTAAACAGGTCGTCATAAGCATCAACAAGGCCATCGTTTCACACAAGTTCTTCGGCAATTTGTTGGGTACGTCGTTTGCGGTACTGCATCTGGTGAGCGCTGTCAGGATCATGCCAAAGGGCCTGCATTTGTGGTCCAATTGGGATCATGTGGAACACAGCCTGCGGAACTTTCACTTTGCCTTGACTCTTCCAGAGCTTGATCTAATCATAACAGGGTGTTCCACACTCCGGACAAGTCTCACAATCTGTGTATGGTCCAACGAATGCGACACATGTGTTAATGCACATATGATCGACAACAGAATCAACTACGCTAAGCTCAGCTAAGATTTTTTTGATTCAATAGAGGCTGGGTGTTATGCGAAACCTCTTGGATGAGATCCAGCGGCACTAAACCCGCAAGGGGCTTTCAAAGTGTGGCCTTCAGCACTAGCCCAGCAAGGAGCTTGCCTGTGCTGAGTCTAAGTAAGGGTTGAGGCCCTTACTTGCATAGAGTCGATTGGAGTTTCTCGAGGATACAATCCAAGAGACGGAGTTCAACTCAAGAGTATTGTCTCAAGAGAAGATGGTTCTGTGTACAGAGGGAGTTCTCTTAGACAAGAGAAGTTCAGACCCAATGACAAGTATCAGATGAGAACCGAGTAGATTCAAGTTAGAGAATCTATCTACAAGAGAAGTGATATATATGTAATGTGGGATACCGGTGGAATGGTAAGGGTACAGGGTAATGGAGGTATTACCAAAGTATCAATAAGGGTCAAGGGTATGTATGAGTCACATACGAAAAGGGGTAAGTAGTACCAGTTGAACAGTAAGGGCAAAGGGCATGGGGAATCCCCATCAATGAGGGAACCGATACAGTGGTTAGGGCATAGGGTTCGGGAGAAGCCACGGCTTCTGTGATCTAGGGGTAGAAGCGAGAACTTCTCACATTTCAGAACAACGGGATCAAAAAGAAAGAGATAGAAATAGAATTGTAACCATGGTCCAGGTCTAGACGAGTCCGAAGAATGAAATGACGTGTAACGCTCATGTTACTGTAACACTGGGTATATCAGATTCTGGGAAGCATCGATGAGCTGCAGTTTGTATGTCTTCATAAGCTGCTTCTGAAGAGTGTTCGAGTGCGAGAAACATTGAGAGTGCAAAGTCGACAGCAGGATCATCAACAGTTGCTGGGTAGGAAGGGGGATTACGGAGCCTCTCAAGAGCCTCGCCTTTGAGCCCAACACCATCATCTAAGCGAGCTTCCCAGAGTGCGCGAATGAACAGCATATCCTGCTGGAGCTTTGGAATGTGTGCCATATTAGACAGTTCATTCAGGTCCAAGTCCCAGAGTGGGCTACGTCTGCGCTCACGATCGAGTGGCTGTTGTTGGTCCGGACATGGGTCTGGTTGGTGTTGCTCGGGAGGAAAGTCTGGCTCTGGTGGAGGAAAGTCTGGCTCCAGAGGATGGAAGTCTGGATGATGGAAGTCTGGGAGATCATTATGAGATGGTGCTAGCAAGCCTTGTCGACTAGTAGTATTCGTGTCCTAGTTCAATATACCATTAGACGTCAACATAAGTACAAGTCAATGATACACATACCTGCTCCATGACATCTTCTGATCGATTGCGTTTGCAGGGCACACTGTCATCGTCGTCATTGTTGTTAGATTCACTCGGACATTTCAAGTCACTCGGACCAGCCAAAACACTGTGTGCAAGCGGAATCGATGCACGGAATGTATCAGAAAACTTTGCCAAATGAATACTCTCCTTCTCATCATCATCCGCTTCTTGAAGATGGCGGTACCATGTTGATTGTGCTTGAATCGAAGTCCTTTCGCCGTTACAATACTTGCGACACACACACCAGAAGTCTGACATCGAAGGCTAAAAGCATGTATTATGATGGGTGCAGCAACAGTGCGACAAGGACTACATGCGCTAGTGACAAGTATACAGCGTTACAACGTGTGCGAGTAGCGGCCGTAGTACGGACCGGGCGCAGCTTACAATTTTCGTTTGCTAAACGTGAAGTCAATGCGTGAAACGAGCGAGCAGTCTTCAAAAAAATAGCTTACCTTTAGAAAAAGCGAAACAGAAAGCAAGAACAATGACGATTTTTGCAGCCTTAATGTTGTGTTTGCGAAACGCGTCGATTATCGTAGATAAGACGATGTATGTAGGGTACAAAGTAGCTTTGCGTATATTTACGTCTGTTTCGGTAGATTTCCAAATGTCCAGTGCTCACTGGGCTTCAAGTTTCAAGCTTTAAGTTCGACGACTCAACGCCAACAGATCGAGAGCTGCGGAGAGTCAAAGTTGACGGTGCCGGTGCTGCGCCGAGGCGTGACACGACGTGACCACATTTTGCAGATTAGCAGTCAGACCCTGAATTTTCTCGGCTTTCATCCGACACCACACCACAACGTCCTAAAAATGAGCAAAAATCGGATCTATATAGAGGTGGTACGAATCTACAACCCTCTAAATTCGTGGAAGATAAAATGAAGTGGTTGACGAGCTACAAAAGATTTGCTGAAAAAGTTGCAGATTACCCGGAATGATAGTAAGGATTATTTCAGGCGTTCCGAAAGGTACTAATCTTCATAATAGATATCCTTGGGACTGCTCGATCGATACTTGCGATGTCTCAATCCAAAGGTGTCGCCCTCGTAACCGGCTCAGCACAAGGACTTGGCCGTGCAATAGCGATCAGATTGGCGCAGGACGGCTTCGATGTAGCCCTCAACGATCTGCCTGCAAAGAAAGCAGTACTGGAAGACCTCGCAGCCGAATTGCAGCGAGGTGGGACATCAGAAGGTCTCTACCATCCCAAAATATGCGTTGTGCCTTGCGATGTCAGTAAAGAAGACGAGGTGAAGCGCATGATCGACACTGCAGTTGACGTTTTAGAAAGCTTGGACGTCGTGAGTAGCGGCAGAGAATGCATGATCTTGGAGTCACGACATGCTGCCACCACAGATGGTCGCGAATGCTGGAATTGGGGTCATGACAGATATCTTAAGTGGTGCGTGGATCGATCATGAAACAAACCTGGCATACTCACTTTCGTTCAGAAACCTTAGAAGGCTGGGAACGCGTTATGCAAATCAACGCTACCTCTGCATTCTTGTGCTATAAATACGCCGCAGTGCAGATGGTGAAACAAGGGCGTGGCGGTCGCATCATTGGTGCCAGCTCCATGGTAGGAAAACGGTGTAAGAGGTTCTCTCTGATTCGAGTGCCGTGGCGACTGAAAATACGACGTCTACTATGAAGCCGAGGCCGACTTGCTGTCGTACAGTGCAAGCAAATTTGCTGTTAGAGGCTTGACACAAGCGGCCTGTAAGGTTATTGCCTCATGCATGTGAATTAGTACTGATAATCGCATCAAGCACTGCAACTCGGCCAATATGGAATCACAGTAAACTCCTATGCCCCGGGCATCATAGAAACACCTCTGCGTAAGTGTTGCAAGTAATGTGTTTCCTGTCGCTGTAGATCTATTCCCAGTCATCGAAGGAAGGGCTCAGAGTGTAAAGCGAGGCGACAAGGTCGACTACTTTCAAGAGGTGCGACCTGGAAGTTCACATTCCATATAACACGGATTGACTAAATTGCGACACAGAAAATCGACGCATCTGCAGTTGGATACGTCGGACAGCCGGAAGATGTTGCCAGCGCTGTTGCGTACCTAGCTTCCGGGGAGGCCCATTTCATCACAGGCAAGCTTCCTATCCCTCAAGTGTTGTATGCGAATTTAGTTCCATGCGTGTTAGGACAATGCGTAAGTTGAACCGAACCACTGGTATGTTGAGCGACTGAGACGAGGAATTACGCAGATATCCATTGACGGTGGGTTGATACTGTCTTGACTGACCGCAACATACAATTGCCAGTGTGCAGTGCCCATGAAACCACTGGCGCGAGCCGGAATATCCTTGGATTTACTTGATTCCAGTCAAAACGAACATTTAACTTGTATTAGATGATTTCGACATTCTATGCATATGCATTATCTGGGCTCTGCCAGTGAACCCGTTCGAAATAGGCACCGCCGTCAGTTCTGCAAGCACATCTAATATCTTCTCCTACATATATACCATTTCTCCCTCTAAAGCAACATGCTTCTTTAGGCTTCGTCGATGGGATGGTACGAACGGGGCATGCGTGTCTCGAGCGACCACTAATGCATGCAATTTGATTTCCCTACTTGCCTGCGCGGTAACCACCCACGTGTCTGTGCTATAAAGTACCTGTATGTCCTGAGTAAGCTTTTCATGGTCCAGATTGACATTATTCGCGTTCTAGATCTTGTGCCGAAAGGTTTCGTCTTCCTGCTTGTCTGGACGAGAGGTTTGATCGACTTCCAGAACTCGGTTCAATCCTTGTCAGCGGACACATTATTCACTGATGCCCAAGCACCTTCAAGACCCAGACCGGCTCGACAGGAGTTAGTGTTGAGTCACGGTAGCTTAGCGTGCAGTGCAAAGTGAGCATCATTGTTATCTTGCAGGGACCAATGAAGAACATGCTGCATCAGAATGGTTCGGGTGTTTTTGACGTACAGGGAAACGCGTCGGAAATATCTATGTTTCGAAATACACGCAACTACAATATCTCTAGTATCCTGACGTCCATCATGTCACGAATAGCAGTCTTGTCCTTGACTTGTGCAATGATATTGTGATCTGACGCGATTCTCTTGTACTCCCCGCCATGCTGCTGCGTTAGCAAAAGTGCGCCAAAAGGCTGTCCAAGGCGAGCGATCAACCTCAGCGCTCGCGAACGTGACTCTGAATTTTTGTACTTCCCACCACGCTGCTGCGCTGGCAGAAGTGAGCCAAATGGCTGTCAAAGACGAACGATTAACTTCGACGCTCGCGAGTGAGACTTCGAATTGGCTGGCCCATAATCTCCAGGAGAATTGCCAAGAGATTCGTCCAATACAGACTCATCTGCGCTCTGCGTCTCGTCTGCAAAGTCAAGCATCCCGAGATCATGACGATTCCACGGACGGACGAGTAAGAATGTCCGCGAAGCGGGTCGCAGCTTATCTTCTGTGGTGATGAGCAGGTCGTCAAGCCCGTCTGCCTTGACATCATAAGTGAAAGAAATCCTCTGGTCTTGACCACGCCTCTGTCTCAGTGCTGTGACAGGGAATGCAATGCAAGGCAGTTGCAGCCTGCAGTCCGCGAAACGAGAAGGGCTCAGGTTGGCAAGCCGGGTATACAGTGTCGAAGCTTGCTCCACGACAGCGGCTTTTCGCAGCGACGAGACTGATGTCTGTACCCGACCTTCAGACGGAGATGGCAACGTGCATGGCGGGATTTTGTATGAGGCAATGTCGGCTGGCAGACAGCTATTAAACTCGGATGATTTTCCGACCCAGTCCAAGGCTGTAATGTCACCCGACTGGGCAATGATGGCCTGCAAGAGTCGTCCGAGCGCTTTCTGCTTCGTCTCGCCGTAGATGATATTTAGGTGGACACCGAAGATGCCAAATAATGAATATGCAACATCTTCCGGCAACGTGGCGACACGGTTCGACGCCCACTGAAGCTTCTCTCGGGCGCCACTCATCCCCGGACGGAAGTCGGCGAGCGTCCGTGCATCTATGCCTGTCGAACCCTGCATCTCCCCCATGATAGTGTCAGACTTCTTGTGGTTGGAAGAGCGGTCATCGAGATATGGAGTCCAATCTGCTCGGTAGAAGATCACAATGTTAGGAGCCAGGAACTCCTGAACAGTCCATCCTCGTGTGTTCCAAACACTGTTTGCCAGTGCGCCCACTTGCTCCGAAGGCGGGACATCCGAGAGGTAGATGATCGTAAGAGCCGAGTGGCGATACCAAACAAACATGGAGTTGATCGATGCTTGGACCTCAATATTGTTTTTCTGGTCAATGCAGCATGTATCGCTCCATGCCCAGCGATAGCCCGCATCGCGAACAGTTTTGCAGAACATCTGCAACTTCACCGTGGTTCCAACTGGATCTAAATCATACACAACCTTGTCCTGGATGTCGTGCAGCAGTAGTTCATTTCTTTGCCATCTATGCGATAGCATGGCACAATTGAAGTACTTCTCAACCGCTTCTTTGATGGGCTCCGTCTGGAGGGGTGCATGCGTCATCGATGATGACAAAATCTCCTTGTACTCCATGCTTTTCATGAAGGTGTTGAGTAGACGAGGCGGGGCCCTTTCCAGTTTAGCATCAATGGCTCTTCGAATAGTACCATCTACTTCAGATGGACTGACATATTGCTGAAGCCCCGCTGGAGATAGAGTTAATCATATTGACGTTGATGCATGAGTGCTTCGGGGCTTACCTTGCATCCGTGGGTCAGATGTATTGCCGAACTTGGAAAGCATAATTTTCAAGACCCCAATTGCTTCATCATAGTGTTGAGCCTTGTGAAGCGCTGCATGTTTCACTTCGTGCCCAATATATGACAAAGGGTTGAGTTCAATGACCTGTGCATTGGCGGTATCAGCACAATTGCTAGAAAAATGATGGATATTATCCGTACCCTGTCCGCGTCGTGAACGGCCTCCGCGTAGAGGTTTCGTTCCAAATTTGCCTTACTGCGGTGGGCAAAGAGGGACTCGCATGAGGGGTCCAGCCCGATCCCTGCCGAATACAGTTCAATAGCTTTCTCATAATTGCCTGCAGCAACAGCTTCATCTCCTTTCGTGACACAACGCGCAGTGCAGTTTCTCTTAAAGGCTAAACGACTCCAGAGTAAGTGTCCGTGTTCGAGTCGTCTACGACTCCAAAGTACCCACCCGCGGACCATTCGAGGTAGCTGTCCTTCGCATCCTCCCCAATCATGCGCATCATGTATTGGTGAGATTCGACGGCTTCGAGCACTCGATAAATGCGGAGGCACGCGTCGCGCCGTCTTTGGTTGACGTTTTGCCATAACGAATCCAAGTCCCAGCCGAAGAACTATCCAGCACATCAGCAATCAATGAAAGTATCTTCTGCGGCTTCATAGTGGCGCACCATCGTAAATATCTTCAATCTAGGTTCAAAAGTGCTTTGCGAGAGCACAAGTGGGCTACACTGGCAATACTATTATGGAGTCGACCGGCGGCTTCGTTGTACCGCCCGTCCTCGAAAATGCAAGCTGTACACGTAGATACAACTGACGAGCGAGTTCGAGAGTGAGAAAACCTATGAGGTCTGTCATAAAGCTTACATTGACAACACCGCACAGAAGTGTATCTGATCGTTGAGAAGCGGTGGCAAGGTCTTGAACTCGCCCCATTGCCTCATCATGGCGACCGGCATTGAAAATTGCAACAGCCTGGAGAAAATAATATCCAAGTCTTAGTATGACAGACCGACTATGAAAACAGTGACGAGACTACCGTGATTAAGAGTACATGATAGACGGTGATCGGATCACGATCTGAAAATGCAAAAGCGAGATCGAAAGCCTCCATCGAGTCCCAGAGTTGCTCGTTGCCACAGAGGGCAATGGCCTTGGAAATGTAGCCTCACGAGGAGGGCTGGATGGCTATGGACTATATCACCAAGTATATTCAATATCAACAGCACCATGATATACAGAGCATCTGACCTTGACTGAATCTTGAAGCGCCTTGTCCCACTCGCAGTTTGGCGCTCTCACAACTGAACGGCTGGAAATAGGAATCGTGGTTCTTGTCATCTGCGTCGATTTCTTGGGTCGGCAGCTCTTCAGCGGCATGCAGGTCCCCAGTAATGCATGCATTGCGGACCGTCGTGTTTATAACAAGAATCTGCATGAAGAAAGTTCACGTTCTGTGATAAATAGACGCATTGTCTGCACCACCAGCTTGGTGGCTTTCCGACGAATGATTATTTGTACTGTCGCTATTGCCACCGGGTTCGTTGTTGCTGTTGTGACTGCCCAGCTGTGCCGTTGTCGATAACAATGCGAATCAACAGACAGGCAGAAACATAATAGGTGAGGGCATACCTGCGTGTCACTGAGAGTAAGGAGTACTAGTTGTCTCTGTGCGTCTTCATCGACCTTAATCCTTAGACTTTCCTGAGCAAGGAGTCGCTGTCTCTGTGCGTCTTCATCGTTCTTTCTCTGTTCCTCTACCTTGAGCTGCTTAAGTATCTCCTTCATAGACCAGAGCCAAACCTTCCCATCCCCTGTCTCCACTCACAAGCAGCTCTCTACTGGGAGAAACCACGGCACACCAAACCGAACCGGTGTGTTCGAGTGCCGGCCCTATGTGTTGGTGTGTCCTTGTGCTCCACAGCCACACAGTCTTGTCAACCGAGGTAGTGGCAATGAAGGAGCCATCAGAAGAAATGACGAGCGAGGTGATGGATGCAGTGTGACCGATGCAAGGTTGACCGATCTGGTCTCCATTCGACGAGTTCCAGAACTCGACGAATGAATTGGTTGTGCACGAGGCAATTTGTTGGTCGTCCGAATCATAACTTGATGCGGAGACAAGTTGCTGGCTGTCAGGCGACCACACAATGCTTGCAGCACTAAATTGAGCATTGATCTCGAGAAGAAGCTCGGCGTTATCGGTACGCCAAATCCGGATGGTACAGTCCTTTGATCCAGAGGCTAATTTTAGCCCATTGGGGCTGAATGCGACACTCCACACCTCATCACGATGACCTTCGAGTGATACGAGGACACCGCCAGTCTCTGCATTCCATATAATAACAGTGCGATCATCCGAACCGCTGGCGAGTTTCTTGCCATCGGGGGAGAAGGTCACCGAGCACACCGGGTCTGTATGTTTCACTAGCGGTTTGAATACCATCTTCTTGCTCTCGACGTTCCAGATGATGATGGTTTTGTCTACTCCTCCACTCGCAATCCGGCTGTCGTCTGGTGAGAGTGCGACTGATAGCAACCACTCCTTGTGTCCCTCGAATGGCCCTCCTACCAATGCTCCTTTCTCCACGTCCCAAATTCGTAGGGTGTTATCATATGAACCAGTAACAACCCGTCGTCCATCTTTGAAGAACGCGGATGCCCTCACTGCAGTCCGCGTTCGCTTGCGTTGGTGTCAGTCGCCCTCTCAAAGTGGGATCCGGACCTCCTGCTGTATCAGGCACCTCTGACATGTCGCGTTGACCTACACAGAGAGATAGACGGTCAGTAGCATTTGAAGTTGATGAGGGCCGTACGTTTTGGATATTGTTGCGTTGTAGATATGTGTGTGTGGTGAGTAGTGTTGGTCTTCTGCCCATGAGCCACCTCATGTATATGTAGGCGCTTATGGCTCCAGACCGCGCAGCTACAACGTGGATCTGGTTTCACTTCTGACATAATAACTGTCCTCCTTCATAAACGTCCGTCACAACCCAGTTACGAACCCGCTCAAAAGCGTATGCATATGGTGCTATCGCGTATCACAGTCAACTCTACAACCATACATTTCTTCTACTTAACTCATTTTGATCGTCAGTTGTGACGTATCCTGCTTCACCACGAGCCTAGATCAATCATTAGGCGCTGGTGTCTTATCACTGCCGGTATCGATGATGTTACATATCGTGCCGTGTCTCGATCTGCGACTCATGCGTGTCACTGGAGTGTATTGATTTACCTACTTGCCCGCATGATAACGATCCGAACCTCCTGGGCAATCTTTTCATGATCCTCATCAATGTTGCCTGCGCTAGCCCTAGATTCTATGTGATAGTTTCCCCTTCCCCGCTTGTCTCGACGAGATGATATCAGCTAACGCACTCGATGCAATTGCGCATCGCAACTTGGTGGCTTACAGAACATGTCGTCATCGCTCTTGATGTTTATATGTATCGTCGTAAGCAGGATCTGGTTTCAAATTCTTCGCCTCATGTGATGTTTCATAGATGATACACCCTCCGTTATCTTGGGATTCTCCTGCCGTATCACTATGCATATGTTTGCGGTATGCCGCTATACGTTGTATTGGTTGATTGGTGCTTGCCAAGTGGTAGTGTCGGAACGGCTCGATCACAACCCATCACCCTGACCTAGCACAACACCTCCTTACAATCGTGTGCAGGCACATCGATGCTGAGCGCTGACCGGGACCATCGAGATATGGTGCATCAGCGGGCGAAAGTAGGAATCGTATTCTCTGCAATGCCATTAGCTAATTTATTATATCTAATGCTGTGATGACACGAATCATTGTGTAGGCAAGGTTATGTAAGTTCCGCACTTCTAGCTCTCCATTGCTGGCAATACTTACTATCATGCCGGGTGATCTGTGGCACTTCCAGCAAATCTTTTGTAGCTCCTCAACCACTTCATCTTTTCTTCTACAAATTTGCAGCATTGTGGATTCGTATCTCCTCTACACAGATCTGAGAAACTTCGGGGTCTAACCGTTAATCTGCGACATTTGATCACGTCGTGCGCAGTGGAATTTGTTACACATCTCTCCTGTCCGCTGTCACACTTCATACATGCAGCGCATTCTTCCTCTGTAGCATCTCAACGCAAGAGGATGCCTTCTATCGAAATTGTGTTCTGACATCCCAACAAGGTGAAATTTATTATGCTCCGGGTGTCACTTTACGAATATATCTGTAAGATCTTTGGGATCTGGATGATTTGTATTTGTGCAAGGTTGCAAATTACCACTATTTCGTCTCTCACAGCTGCGACACTCGAGAAAATTTTATTTCACTTTCGCAGTACATCATTTCTAAGTATCCTACATATACCTGATTGTTTTTGAAGGGAGTCGAGCAGCGTGTTGTAGTATTTTGAACATGTTGCATATTAGATGCCGGTTGCAGATTACCCGGAATGATAGTATATCTCCTAGGAACACGAAGTCGATGACCAGTGCTATCCCTGTGTTTCAAGTTATGGCTTGTAATAGATCAGAATTGTGCAAAAGTCTTCACCCTGGACAGCGAAAAAGCGCAGGATAATAGATAGGAATGGCCATCTCAGTACCGACTATGAGTCCATGTAAATGCAAAATGTTACCAAAAGAAGCTGGCAAAGATAATCCATGCGAAACGCAGAAGAGCGTTAAAGATGTAGACAGGTCAGAACGAAAGCAAAGGTGAGTACAACAGTTTCACAACGTCTCTCTTATGATACATCGACATCTGTGGCAGCCCAAAAGTCTAAGATGTCATAGTACCCGCGGCCCGTCCCATGAGATGTCTCCGTGGTCTTCTCGATCGGATTCTTTTGGTCGATACCGACCTTCTCCAGCATCGGGATCATGAAAGGGCTCTGGTTGAAGCTGAACGAGGGGTTCTTGGCCAGGCGCCGAGGGATGAGGATGTGTAGGTTTCTGCAGACCCGAAGGGGATTGGGACCAATCACGCGAGGGGGGGGATGGATGCCGCACCTGCAGCTCATATGACTCGGCCTTGGCGGAGGGGGAATAAGCATGGCGTGAGTAATCTAGTTTGGGAACGGGAGGCTCAGGGCTCAGGGAGTGTGAGTTCGGCGAATGCGAAAAGGGGTGCTTGGCTGTTTATGTCTCCCGATGGATATTGATATAGCGAGGGTGGTATAGGTGAGGGTGCGGGGATATCGGATGCTGAGTAGTAAGAAGGATTGGGCGAGAGTTTATCCTCTGCCTCGTGGGGGTTGGGTAACTCGACTTGGGGGACTAGCTCTGCGCTGTTATCATCAGGACTCTTGCCACTGGCGTCAGAACCTGCGAGTGATCTTGCAGCCGTCGGTTCATAAACTTGCTGTAGAGCTAATTCTGACGCTGAACGAGCATGAGGTTCGCGGAACATCGGTGCAGTCTCAAGGTCAACGACACGTTTGTTCTTCAACTCCTTGCGGTGTCGGATTCCCAGACGGTCTTTAAGATCGCCTCCGACCCACATCTCACGGACGATGTCTTTATCCAAGGGCATGTAGGTCGATTTGAAAAACTTGATGAGGAACCGGGGCGCTAAAAAAAACCGGCGGTTAGGATGAGTTTCCAACGAAGGCCATCTCAACTCACCCAGTGCCACCAAGACGGAGAAAACGACCGTCGCCCAGAACGTGACATTGCTGAAGAGGATCTCCACCTCGTCTATAAACCCATCCGTGGAAGAGAAGAAGGTGTTGACCGGAAGGACCGAGTAGATCACGATCCAAAGGATCATGACAAGGGACGACCCGATGACGACGATCCAAGTGATGTAGGTCCAGCTAAATGAATCACCGTTCAACGTTGTCGAGTAGCATGAGAAAGCACTCACTAGTGGGTGTTCATCCCGACGTAGGTGTTCGCTGCAAAAATGGCAGCGATCGCGACGGTCGTTCCAAAGTCCGCCAACGAATCGATTCCTTTGCCATTATATGATACGGCTAGTCCAAGCTGCCAGACCAAGTAGGGGATGAAGAAGACGACTGCTGATTGGTAAAGACCATCGAGCATGTAGAACCAGAACTTTGTCCGTGTGTACTCCAAGCCTCTAATACCGCGAACATAGAGCTGAGGGAAAGCAAGGGCAGCTTTTGCATTGATATCCTGATCGAATGCTAAAACGACGAGTTGAGAAGGACCCAGTAGTAACTGACGAAGAGTGCTCACATCCGAGAACGATGACAGGCAGTGAAGTAAAGATGAGGTTGTAAAACAAAATAAAGCTGTAGTCATATAGATAGGTTGCGTCGAAGCTTTCAAAGGTATCATCAGTTGAGTGATACAAACCAAGAGAACGACACTCACTAGCAGAACGGCATAAACCAAAACATGGCCAACGTCCAGATAACATTCTGGGTGAGTAAGTCAACAACAGCTATCATCAAACAACGTCGCACAACCCACCTTGTAGAAGAAATTACTGTGCATATCGGCAATACGCTGATACGACCACCTCCCGTGGACGAGCAGCAGCTTCGTCAAGAACCTGAACTGACCAAATGCATAATCCGCGGACATAGCAGCTTGTGAACCTTCATGTCCAAGCAGACCACAACCAACATTGGCTTCTTGAATCATGGCGACGTCGTTGGCACCATCTCCTATGGATAGCGTCATCGCCTTCCGACCCTCCTTGACCTTCACATTGAACTCGATGTCAGAGAGACCAATCAATCAGCCACGACATACTCACCAACTTTACGGTCAATGCTTTCTGTGCAGGTGAGACACGGCAGCATACAACCGTTTCGCACTGGGTACCAAGGTTAAGGAATAAAGGCTTGATAGCAGGCGTCAACGCATGATGTAGGGTATCACCGTCGATAACCACCGCAAAAGAAGCCTTAGTGCCAGGGACAAATCCGCGTTCCACTGTTTTCGAAGTAGGTGGGCCCAACATCGACGCCATCTTGTTAAGACCTGCCTCGATCTGAGCAAGAGTGCCTTCAGGAGTGTCAGCAGACAGGATCATGACTTCCATATCTTGCTTCAGGAGGTTGCAGCTGAAACCTGAGAACGATAAGATCCAGTAAATGTATCATATGAAAAGCAATACTCACCAATCTCAATCGCAGTTTGCAGTTTATCACCTGTGAGAATCCAGAGCTTGATTCCAGCGCGATGGAGCATTTCAATAGCTTCCGGAACCCCTTCCTGCAACTTGTCCTCTAGAGCCGTAGCGCCCAGAATCTGCAATGAGTGTTCCAACTCAGCCGCTGCACTTTCAATAGCCTCGTCGCGGTTGTCAATAGTCGACTGAGCAGCTTCGTACTTCCGCAGCCACTGCAAGAACTCCTCCTCCGCGAGTACTCTATAACCGATGCAGAGCGTGCGCAGACCACCGTTAGCGAAAAAATCCATGTCCTTGGTCGTCTTCTCCTTCAAAGCAGGGTCCACGTTCGCAGCAAGCCGCTCGTATATGACGCTGTCCGCCCCTTTGCAGTATAGGATGATGTGCCCGTCGGGTGCACGGACGATGACGCTCATCCGCTTACGCGTGCTTGTGAACTCGAGCGTCTTCATATGCGTAAACCGTTCGGGTTGGCCAAGCACTTCGATGTCAATCGTGTCCTTGTGCTTGCCCACAAAAGGGAAGCCCACATCCCGCGCAGCAGCAACCAGTGCAGCCTCATCAGGGGACTCAGCCTTGTATTCCAAATGGTAAGGCCGCTCCTGCGGCTCGGGCTTATCCGCCAACACCGAGTGACACACCGCCAAGGCACGGAAAAACGCGACGATGTGGGAATATTGTTCCGTCGAGCGGTCTGCGAGGTCGTCTGCGAGCTTGGGCGAGACGAGCGTGAGCTTGTTGACCTGCATATAGCGGTTCTTGAATAGCTTCGTCAGCTTGGCGACCATGGTGTCTTTGAGCGCTGTAAGCTTTTCTGCTAGTTCTTCCGGTTCTACTGCGTCGGCCCGACCTTCCCTCGTGGCAGCTCCGCGTTGTGCCTCTGTGACACCCTCACCATAAATGACGCCGTGCACCGAGCATTTTTGGAACTCCATCACGTTTTGTGTCAGCGTGCCGGTCTTGTCGGAGAATATGTACTCGATTTGTCCGAGGTCGTCAGAGATACCCCAGTTCTTTGGGACACAGGCGGTGTTGAAGGGTTTGTAGTACATGTCCAAGTCTTGAGCGATGAAATAGGCTTGGATGGTCTTGACGATTTCTATAGAGATGAATAGGGAGACTGGGACGATGTTCTGGAAGGCGATAAGACACGAGCTAGAAGAGAATCAGTAAGCGCTCAAGTGATGTTGCAATAACATACACAAAAGTAACGAGCGCGTTGAGCACGTTTGAACTGGAGGATTCGACGCCTTGTTCGTAGATATACGTACTCGTGGTTGTTAGCCCATCCATGACGCCGTTGATGATCGCTGATATAGAACAGATGGTGACCAAGAAAATGAAGTTGACTATGACGTTGAAGTTTGTCTCCTTCGCGATCTTCGATTGCTTGGACGGCGTCCGTCCACCGTTCAAGTAGATCTTGGTGTCGGGGCCGGTGAAGACGACCAGTCCGATAATCCATGCGGTGTTCCGCACGGTGCAGCCACGAAGGAGTAGCTCATTGATGCTGACAGCCTCTCTACGAGATTCGCCCGTGGCAGCGTCGGTGTATCGCAAAACCCCATTGTATATGTACAAGTTCTGGTGCGGAGGTTCTGAATCCAGGACGAACGAGGATTTTTCGATGTCTTCTTCCGAGCTGAGGGATGAGGTAGCATGTAGCGCCTTCCGTACCTTGAGGTTCGTTTCGCCGTCAAGGTTCTTGGTTTCGAGGTAGCACAGTCCGTCTGCATCAGACGTCGACAATACGACGACATCAGCAGGAACCTGTTCATCCTCTCGCAGCAGCACGATGTCTCCGACCTCTAGCTTCTTCCATAATGTCCTCTCCCAGCGTGCTGTCCCATTCGTGCGCCGGCTCCAATCTACCACGCCCAGAGATGACCGTGAAGGAATCGACTGCTGGTAGTTGGATAGAGACATACTGTGCTGACCCCAGCCTCCAAGCTCGTCTGCCTGGGAGCCCTGGAGGGTAGGTATGGGTTTCTAGATTAATGCTGCCCTCGATGTCCTCGAGCTCCCTGCCACCGGCACCTGTGGGAGGGTGTGATCCGCCTAAGGCTGTAATGCTGTCGTTCATGTCTGTGGTACTCATGCTGCCCCTGCCCTCGCTACCCTTGCTTAAGATGATCTGCTTTCCCTCACCAGCTTCCTTCTCCCGTAATTTCTGCACACCGCGAGTGATTTTTCCAGGAGCATTTATGTGTAGCAGGCGTTGATACCATGGTCGGGGATCAATGGCTTGGTTTATGTTACGCCACTCCCCTAGTCGTGTCACTGCAGACGTGTTCACTTCTTCATCTAGTTGAGCTCGTCTGTAATCTTCAACGCCGTCCTTGACTGCTGTGACGACTAAAATGAACAAGAGAGGGAGAGCGGCTGTCTGCGCGGATGCAGCACCGAATACGGGGAACACTGCGCGATTTTCATTAGCAGTTGACTATGTTGAGGTTAAGCGAAGATTACTCACGTTGGAAAACCACGAGCGCCAAAAAGTAGATATTGGCGATTCTAGGGGCCAGGGTCAAAGAGTTTACGTTTCATCAAGAGTTTCACGAACCGGTGAAATTGTTCAAAGAGGTTCTTCGGCAGGAAGGTCAAGAGTGTGTACCCTGTGAGTAACATTACACTCGAAGTGGGATTGAGAGCAGAATATGAAACGTACTACTTGTGCGAACTTTGTTCCGCGCGTACCGGGCAAGTGGTTCGCCATACTGATCGGCTTCCATAGCGGACAGTGGTTGGTTGACATAGACATTCCTGCGCGCACCCTGAATGCGAGATTGCGGGGCAGAGGGTGCCTCTGAGGGCCCCACCGATGGGACTGACTCGGTAGTCTTTGGTTTCTTCCGAAAAAACAGAGATCTCTTCTGGTTAACATTTCGCCTCTTTGCCGCTTTGATCTCCGAGCGTATAGACTCTGCGATAGTGGAAGCTGCTGTGCGCACGGTACGGAGACGTAGTTGTGGGTCTATGGTGTCATTCTCGTCAATGTCGGATGATGCTGGATTTCGCTTGAACATTGAAATTATGAATTAGTGACCACGGGTATCGTGGAAGGTTCTGAGACCGAGAACCAGCACGGCAGGATAGAAATCAAGGAAAGAACGAAGTGTGGAAAGACAGGTCACAGCTTGATGTAGTTACTTTTCGCAGCAGGCAGAGCTATGCAGTGCGGTACCCATTTTTGGCGTAGCTTTAGGACCCCGATCACCTTCAGACCTGCCGTTTTGCCGCCGTCTAGTATTATGTAAATAATCAATTTTGACCAAGTGTTGTGAGTCGTTGTCGAGGACGGTGACGAAGGGTACAGGTGGTCACCAACGTGGCTACTGATGCTTTTCTTACAGCCTGGTTGCTGTTATACCAGCGCCCACTGCTCTGAACTTACTGGACAGTCTTAGACTCCGAGAGTCGCGCCCTCCGTTTCAGATATCATTTGCCAGCGCATGTCACTCGAAATAGCATATATTCCGAGAACTTCGCAGACGCACTTGTCAACGCGCGCTCAGTCCTCGGTAGCTTGTTAGCATCCCGGGCCGCAACTCCAACTGGTTATTTCCAGCACAGGGAAGTTCGAGGTCAAGCTGGCACTCGCAGCACCCCGCACACCCCGCATACTGCGCACCGATGCAATTGTTTACCGATCAACGTTGCAACCTCGAGTTAACCTGGAGGCTGCGGCATGCTGATATGAAATTCAATACAGGTGATCTAAGCCTCTATATCAAAGCGATGCGCACCTTGCATTTGCACCGCCTCAGCATGGCCACTTAGTCAAATAACTAGGTGCCAAGGTGTGTTTTCAATCTACATTTACTGATGTTCCTTTCTGGTTTACTGCAATCTGCACACTGCGCGCGGTCAGCGGAACTCATGATAGAACCCTCGTTGCGTCATTGTCAATAATGCGGACTAAGAGCACTGGGCAGCAGGCTTCTTTTGTAGGTGCATACCGGCAACTTCAACCCTTCATCACAATCCTGCCATCTCTCCGTGAAATGTTCGGTGTTCTATGCGATGTTGTTCCATCATCATTCACAACATCCGTGGTCGTCAGGCTTCTTTACTCCCGTCCCTCTTAGTGTAAATCGTCATTGGACGGTAGGTCTCCCACTATTTCCCGTCTACGGTAGTTCATGCAAAAGTCAGGCTGCGATAGACATCAAAGAGAGGGCAGGACTACTTCTGCCAGGTAGACATATTCCTGCTGCCCGAAATATCGTTGTCGACATCTAGGAAGCACTGGCTTTTCACAAGGGACAAGCGGACAAGCATGGTAAGGATCTGGTTTCATAAGTACGGGGTCAGCGGCTAGATTGGAGGAATTAGCGCCTTGATATCCATGTTAGAGTCCTTTGCAGCAAAGGCCCACCACCAACGGGAGTGGCATCACAGCCCCCTTCATTGAACGCGGATTACAAGATCAATTGCTCACTGGGCCACTGAGAACATGGTGTGAAATGGTACATCATTTCAGAGGGTCCAAAAATGATAAGCAACCGGTGCGTATTCCTGAGTTTCCCTTGACCGCACATTCGCTGAACTCCCACAGGAGTATTTTGGCCGGATGCAATGGTGGATTGGTACACATTTGTTGGTTGGAGAACGAGAATGTCGCGCTCAAGCTCAGAAGTATAATCCAAGCCGAACTTCAAATTTAGGGTTCATCCACTTGACGACTTCTTCCCATTTGTTCACTCACAAACATTAACATCCCAACTAACAAGTTAGATTTCCACGTCGATTTTCCACTCTTATCAGGTAATTATGCAAAACTTGCATCGATACCAGCAGTTGTATGTAATGCCGCCGTTCAATGTGCCTTCAAATACCACTCCGCTGGGCCACCAGTACAACGACCATCGATTACTCGAAGTTCGAACTCATTGTCACCAAGCCAGGTGATTCTTGTCATCCGGCCAGTCGGACCTGACTTTGCTTGGCGGCCGCTGTGGTCAGTCTCATGATCGATATGGTATCAGATGTCGACGGCACCAGATGGATACTCAACAGATTATCTTGACCGTTGCAGAGTCCTACAGCTGCAATATGTGGCAGAGCCGAGTACTGGTAATTTGCTGGAATGTGAGCCAATCAAAACTGATACTATCTTGGTGTCAGGCCTGGCCCCAAGTACCTTGGGAAAACAGTTCCAGGTAAGATCATATCTATAAAGACATTCGAATCCGATGATGAAGTCTGATGAAGTACCGAATATGAAGATATCAAGGCTATGGGTTGCTGAGTGCACAGCACCAGTGAAGTAAGTACTGAGTATCAATGGCCATGGTGTTCACGGTCATGTGCGATCGCCATATCTTAAGGCGCGTCGGACGAGATTCTGTTTTTGTCCCCTTCCTGTACTAAAGGCGCTGCGCTAAAAATTGTCATGAGTATCCAGAACGGGTGGGAAGCTCCGTCGTGTGTGTCGATAATGTACTTAAGGAAAGATCGCAGCGGTATTGGTGCGCTCACGACTTGCAGGCAAGTCCAATATCGGAGGGCATACCGCGTTGATCATTGCTTGAGATGTCTTCTCTGTCAATCTCAGAGGTTGCAGATTTACAGATATCCAAGGTATGCGAAGATCGTAGCTTGATAATCTCGAGGCTAACCTGATGTTCGATACAGTACGCCAACCGTGAAGTGCTCGTGGATCGTCAGTAAAGTAGACAGCGGCACTAACTGCGTTGCGTCCTCAGTCGGTGGTCTTGCAATTCTCGTGAGTATCGAGCACATTCGTTGTGTTTCTATCTCGATGTTTCTTTTCGGCACGTCAGATATACGATTACTGCATCACGTTTCAGGATGAGGTTCACCACATGATCTGTCGATGACTATAGGCTTAATTACTCTCCACAGGTACAGTGGACCTGGTCCAGGCCATGGGGTTTCACTCGTGTCATCTTCACTATATCCCGATATTTGCCTTTCGTAGGCGCTGGAATGACGGCATATGGTGAGTCACTTGCTCTTGATTATCCTTATCTTGCATCTTGCTGATGGTTATCTTAGCTGCACTGCGTGTCAGCGGTCCGGTAAGTTTGCAGAAGAAATGGCTTCTATGATAAGCTGACAGCATGGCGCAAAGTGCGACCCTTCTGTGGAAGAAAACAGTGAGTCATTCACCACTGGTTAATTTCCACTCTGCTGCCTAACAACGCAATCGTCAGTTATCCATATTCTAACTATCGTTGCTGCAGAAGGTGCGAAATTGTCGTTCATGCCAAGAGCACGGTGGATCATGCTTCCTTGACAGGATTGCTGGTTATTCGGACTTGGGCATTCTGGCAAAACAGTAGAAGAGTGCTGATTGGATTATTGACATATAGCGTCGTGCGTGGAAGTTCTGTAAGGCCGGAGTAAGGCCGTAGACTTTGACTTTACAATAGGTGACAATAATCGCCGCCATTGCCGTGAACGTCGTTCCAAATCATCAGTTGATTCCAGGAGGTGAGCTCGTTGGTGTTTACGAACACGAATCGTTTTAACATCGCTATCAGGAAATTCGTCACCAGGATGCAACTTTGAATCATCAAGAAATGCTGCAGTAGTGTACTCTATCTTGGCAATGTTCGAAATTGGTCAGTGACTATGCGTGGCGTACTTGTTGTCGGCAGCCTGACCCGCAACCAAAACCTGGCAGTGATCTTGATCCTTAATGCATATAAGAGGTTCCACGACTACCGGGATGAGCAGAGCTCAATTGTAACCACCTTATATGGCGATGGTATGCTTTACATATCGTGCATCATCGGTGCGTGGAAATAATTGTTTCTAAAGTTATTGTTGTGTAATTCGTTTCGCAAAGCTATCACGGTCACCAATGTTATTGTTGACGCAGCATTTCCGGTGCGTGCGCATGTGTGCCAAATTCCAATGACTTGATATCTTTTGTTCCTTGGTCGCAGATCGGCTATAGTAACATGTTTGATACGTATGTCGTTAACTGACAGGCTGTACTATGGTTATTGACCAATTGATACACCTTTAGGCTACAACTTGTCCTTCACAGCGTCCTAGCCTCACGGATTCTATTCCGTCTTCAAAGTAGTAACAATCGTGCCTACGAGCCGTCCATGTCATTGTCGGTGTTAGAAGGTATCAACTATGCACAACCTTCGCAAATGCAGACGAGCGGGACACAAAGTGAAACTAGTGAAGTCTGATCGGAAGCGCCGGACTGATGTAGTAGTTTGTCGTTGGACTTTGGACACGCTTTTGTTAGCAGCTAGTTTACTTTTTGAAGCCTTCGTCGTAACGAGTGCGAACCACAGACTCTGTTGATAAGTTCATGCGTTGTCGACACGGAAGCAATCTGCCGGAATAGACCGAAACAATAACCGTTGGTTGATGCATTACGGTACGCTCTCATGACATCAACCTTCTCTTTTGTCTTTGATGACAGCTGAAACAAAGGAGTGAGGCACCGCATCTTCTGTTCGCGGATTTGCGAGCATGCTTAAGTATGATATGGACGGTCAAGTGTGCGGCCGCAATCCAGCTCGCAATCCACGATGAACCGCCAGATTCACCACCCATGTCATATCAACGTCTTGCCAGTTGAAATACTATCATACATATTCACGCTTGCCACACATAGCACCTCATCCACCATCCCTGAATTCAAACAAAGATATGAAATCCCGGTCAGTCCTGAAAGTGTCACAATGCCAACCGTACTGGCGTCTGTACACCGGCACTGGAGACACATTGCACTATCCACCTCGACATTGTGGTCAAGCCTCGTAATGAGTCTTGAGCAGGTCGTCCGCGTCAAAGCTGGACCAGACGCGGACTGACGAACGGGCACAAACTACTTTCCTTGACTGTGCAGCGCTTGGCTGCCCATATTGCGCGGTCACGAAACTCTCCGGTGGACATTCTTATCGATACTCGAGATCCAGAATGGAACTTTGAAGATGACGGGTAAGTTGCGCTTTGTTTGTAGGTCATACTTGTCCCAACATTTCTGCTTTCAGGGAAGAATGCTCAACTCAGAATCCGACGTCATTCCCATACACCACCTTTATTCCCCAAATCCTCGACCTCCTGTTCCCGCAGATGTACAGGTGGCGTTCGCTGACGATCCTCAGCGATACTTGGGCACCGCTTCGTGTTGCCCTTGAACGTCTCAGTGTGCCCACTCTGACAATGGGCTCAGGCGCTCCGCGCCTTGAGACTTTGATGCTCATGCGATGCAATGAGTTCTTAGGTTACTTGGACACTTTCTCTCCACGCACCCATCTGGCATTTGATGGGATACCATTCGCCGCTTTGATGGGCGCGCCCCATCATGATCTCGCTACGCAATCTCACCCCCTCCCAAAACTGCGAAACATAACTCTCGTCGGTGTTCACTTGAACTGGACACATTTTTCTTGTTATACTCTGGGTGCAGCCCTCAATCCGTCACTCTCACGGGTTTTTAACGGTATCCAGTCATTGGAGCTTTCGCAGCACTGCCGTGAAGTCAGACCAACGTTTGAAGAGTTTTCAGGAATCCTTAAAGCTTGTCCCCACCTGCGCAAACTCGTGATTAGGGTCTCTGGGCCGAGGTTCGATGAAGGAGTCCAGTGCAGCGATCATCCGGTATCGCTTCCCCAGCTCGAGGAACTTCACTTAGGATATACTAGTGTTGAAGATGCTGCCATGCTGCTCAGTCATATTCATGCTCCTAACCTTGTCGCGCTTTCCATCGAAGATGCCAATCACATCGCCAGTGCTGATGACGAGGACTCTGACCCTCTCCTAACGTACTGCGCCACCGGCTTACTTGATTTATGTGACATCTCCACGGAATTCGGTTTGAACCATGGACCTCACAGCAACTCAGCTGCATCTAAAGACTCCGTCGTCAGCACGGTCAAGCCGCCATTTCCACAGCTGGAGCGACTGTCGCTCAACAGTGTCACCGCGTGCATGATTCCATTCAGTCTCTTCATGGCTGCCGTTCCAAAACTTCGTCATCTGTCGATATGTCGTACACCAAATGCGCTCGCAGTTCTGTTACCCATCCAGACGCCTTTCACGGAGGCATGTACTCGCACCTCGCCCTGCAGTGCCCTCGAGTCCATCGAAGTCTTCTGCGCCGAAGAACAAACAAAACACGTGCTCGATTTCGTGCTGAGGGAACGCGAGCTGTGTGGTGCGCCACGCGTGCGTAATGTTGAGATACATTTTGAGGTATGCTCTGCGGACGTGGGGGAAGATATCGGAGAGTATCAGATGGTTGAAGACGACACGGTTGGAAACCAGACTAGATACCGGGAATGGGCGTCAGACGAGGACGATCCGTTTGCGCCCGGTGGTGTCTTCAATGATCCTGATTTCGACGAAGCATATTATTATCTATCATAGGCATTTACGGCCCTTGGATATACATATAGTACTTGCGCATGTAATGCGTCGTTGCAAGAAGCTCAAATTAGCATTACCACTGCGATGATTGGTTTGGCGTTGAAAATCCATTCACGCATTACAACACATGTACAGCCCTCAAGGCCTCATGTCCCCCACCCACGAAGGACTTCTCGTACGCAGGCTGTGATGAATTACTGTTTTCAGGTAACTTTAAACTTCAATTCCGGGATTGCACGTTTGCTTTCAATTTGTCAAATACGAGGTCTCAAGTACTTACCTACATAACCCTGGTCCGCGGGTCAGTGGTGATTAGGGTGATTAGGATGTGAGTTTACACAATCGTGGTTGGTCTAGGTCTGCCAACCACCAGCTTCTTGACTACGCAACGAGCATGACGTCACTTTTTATGAGTAAGTTTATCATATGTTGTCATGTCACGGAATTTTCAGTAATACTAAAGTACTAAATAGCGATACAACCAGACGGCCGCAGCGAGAAATTGAAATACACTGACAGCCTGTGGTATGGAGCAATCTTGCAGGTCGGTGGGTGCCTGTAGGTGACGGGCCAGCGACAGTAGCGCCGTCAGGCATTAAGACTCGTGACCATTCTGCCTACGCGCGCTTATGAGATGTTGTAGCAGAGAATGAAAAGGGGAGAAGCAAGTTACCTGATTAAAGTATTCACGAATTAGCAATCACCTGTCAGTCAACCAAGAAGGCACTGCAGCACGTATGCTCCGATGTTGGTCCGACTCGGATACCTTTACCGATGTCATATTCTTCTTCTTATGCAGGGTCCCAGGCCTAGCCTCGGGCAGGTCATTTGTACTTACAAATCGATGAATAGCAAAGTCTGAATCCTGAGAGTACTGTATGATAAAATAAGATTTGAGAGGATATCGATCTGAGATCACCAATAAATAGCAGGGCGGCCTATGGAAATTAACTGCAGAAGCGAAAGTCGTGGAACGCATCGTCATCATGGCTCTGGCAGTGATAATTTGTAGTCGTCCAGCACGTCAATATTCAGTGCGCGAGTATAGCCGTGACCATACAGAAGGAACGACTGTCTTCATTCTATTGGGTCTGCTGACGGCCCACAGGAGACTAGTTGTGACGCGTGAGAAGCTGTATATGTATCATTTTTGTGAATTGAGTATTGAACTGCGGATGTGTGGGATTTCATTAATCAGTGAATGCACACTGCTGGCATACTTGCAGTGAGTTGACGTCATCCACCAGCGCGTCACGACATATATACGGGGACGACTCGTTAACTTTTTTTTGAAGTGAAAAGCCGGCCAGATTTCCGATGACTTAGGACGTCATGACAAAACGAATGTCGAAGAATTGCGTGATCTGTGGACCAGAGGTAAGTATTTGGACAAAAAGTCCGTGAATCATCGTCCGTAACATCTCCGAATGGTGCGAAATTTGTGCTCCAACAAGCAGTTGAAATAACTTGAATATGATTGTTCTCTATAAGCGTATGTATCGCTTCTCAACACAACACTTTGCGTGCCTTGGGGCGAAATCAAAGGGATAAAGAAGTCCGCGATGTGTTTCCCGCTCAAGATATAGGCCTGAATAAGCGACCCGCAAAACCAGATGAGGACTCCGCGTTCATACTGATAGGCTAGTTGGCGAGACACGATGTCATCCACCGTTAAGAAGGTTGAGAAAACACAGGTGAGCAGAGCACGATAGTTACCAGGCAGCAGTAGGTGCGTACGCTGTATGAATCCAAGGGTGTTACGAAGGGACTACGTGCATGTCTTCAAGAAGGGGTTGCAGATCTTGGAATTGAAAACGCAGGAAGGTAACGGACGACAACGAATGGGTGTGTTCTACCGATGGGTTGGTAAAGTTGAATATTGTGACGGTGCAGATTTATTCTGCAGGTGCTGGCCTGTCGATAGGAATCCTCAAGATTCGTCAAGGCTATGCTTGGTTGAGGGAAATCGGGCCATTCATCGCCTTGACGTGTCCATCACTTCCATAACCCCTTTGCTGTTACATCCTGTGCTGCTTTTAACAGTATGAAGGCTCGTGGCGTCTACCATGTGACGTTGCAACGCCTTGCCTGTCTCCGTCGATTCAGAAGTCGCAATACACTGAAGTGCGTGATTCGGTCCATCATCCTGGAATATGCTGATCCTCGCGTTTTCTTCTTGATTTTTCTCTCTTTGGTTTCTGCATGAGCTCACGAGGGACCGGTCTATTTTTGAGACACCACGCTGTCCAAGCGGGTTTACCTTCAACCCGGTGTGGTTAGCGTTATTTGGTTGCAACCATTCGCCCCAGGTTTACGTTAAGCGACACGTTAAGGGCTGTCGGATGTGTTAATAATCAGGTTCATGAAGGTAATTATTGGGCGCCTTCCTTGGGGCGGGTCAAGTTTAACGCTGTATCAACCAATCAACGCTGACGGTTATGGCCACCGACGTAACATTATGGAAGAGCCTTGTAATCTCTTGCGATATGCAGGCTCGACTTGAGTTGTGCTGTGTGCCAGAAGCTATGAGTATCTCGAACACCCTGATGCGAAAGTTCAAATTGGGCAACATTATAGCTTCCATTGCCTCGGTTTTACCTCTTGCACCTAATCCCTGGGTGATTTCAGGCGATCACGTTAAAGGGGATACCTGGGAACACAACGGTAGGGATGTCACGGCATCTTGACAGAACCTATTTGGACTTTGGGCAGAACACATGTCCGCGGAGTTATCCAGTAGCGCTGAGTTGCCCCCATGTACCGAGGAATTAGGTGCCTTAGGCTCGCCATTTGTTCCTCTAACGTTGACAGCAATGTGGCCTGTTTTTGTGTCGTGGTCAGCACGAGGGGACAATAACAGATGTCGATAATTGAATCTTCAATGGACCTCAGTAGGAGGAATGACGTCGATCTTCTTCACTTCATGATGCGATCTATAGAAGTATCGAGGCCCTGGTCACAACTTGCTCGGCCCGGATGAGCAACAAATGTACCAAAGTCATTGGGCGACTACCCAAGTACTCAGGAACAACCTGAGAGAAGCTGAGAGAGTGAACCCATGATTTCCCGATATGGTAGGTAATTTTAACAGCCGGGAAGTCCCGGTACGGGCCGTGGTGCACCGTCCATGGGAGGATTATTGGGGCTCCACCCTTCTTGTCAGACAAAGTCCGTTGACTTGCTTTGATACTTATTCCAGGTAATCTAGTCACCGACTTCCACTTTTTCAGGTCTCATATTTAAAAAAACAGCATGTCTCCAGCTCAAGAGGAGCAAGAAAAGCCTTCAACATCCATCCTGAAGGAGAGACGATTTAAACTGAGTAGGTCAGTCGTGCTCTCCGTTTCCCAGCGCGTCGATTTGCTCACTTTCGAACTATCTCAGAGCGTGTGATCGCTGTCGGTGAGCGCTTACTGTACTTTTATCTGTGATCAGCCATCGCTCACGATAATACAGTCGAAGGAGAATAAAATGCGACGAGGGCCATCCGTGTCAGGCTTGTCTCACCGCCAATTCACCATGTACGTTTGAAGAACCAGGAAAGCGGACACATCCTCATAAGTCAAAGTTCGTGGAGCGTGCAATTACCCTGGATACACAGAGACTCATTATTGGTTTGCAGAAGAACTGCGACGCTAGAAGATAGGATGCATCAACTGGAGACTCTCATTCAGGCAATTCCTCCTGCAGTTTTCGCTGCAGGGGGTGCGGGTGCATCCGCGCTCACTCCACAGATGCTATCTTCAGACAACATCGCCAGCCCTTTGGCGTCCTTCGCCTCAGCAAACCACAGCTTTCCCTCGGGCGTTCCACCACCATCTTTGCACGTTTTCCCACTTACAAATCCATCTACCCACTTCAGAGCATCTCCGCCAATGAACTCTCCTCGAACTCAAAGTCCAAATACTGCATTTTCCTCGATGCTTGGGCAGTCTTCTCATACCCCAAATGCATCGAACTCCGAACAACATGAAGAGACGTCACGCATGTCTATATCTGCTTCCTATCTGTACTTCGACGATGAAGGCTACACCCGATGGCAAGGAGAGACCTCTGGTCTTCCTCTCTTAGACCTTCTGGTTGAAAATCACACTCCAGTCAAGTCTGAAATGGAGAAAAATTCACCAGATCCGACATGGACAAACTCATCTTCTCATACCGCTAACACCGATTGGTTTCCAAATAGGACGCCCAGGCGCACTGACGTCAATCCTGAAACACTATGGCGCCTTATCACTTCGTATATAGTCCCAGAGCTCATGGACAGGTAGATTTTCTATCTTTTCCTTCTAGTCTTGCTTGTGCTGATCTTGTATCTTCAGCCTAGTCCAATGCTATTTGTGTACTTCTTACTACCTGCTGCCATTCCTACATGTTCCGACATTTTTGGCGGTGCGTGTCGTTCACATGGTGTGCTTCTTGTGCTCACACAATTAATTCAGGACTATGGAAATCCCAGAAAGTGGGGCGAGCCCGGCTTTGCGGCCTTTATTGTAGCTATATGCTGCCTCGCGTCCCGTCATATCGACGACCCCAGAGTACGGTCTGATCCTAGTGATGGCATCTCTGCCGGCACGCAATGGTTCGAACTATTTGGACGACTACGTACTCTTCCAATCGCGGACCATCCTACATTATACACTATCCAGGCAGATCTAATCGCCGCGGTCTATGCAGTTGGACTGGGAAAACTCTCCAAAGCAGCTGCGCTCTTATCAGAGGCTATCACCGTATCGATAGATGTTGGTCTGCATCGATCGGCCGATACCTATGACCTCTTTAATCCCATCGAGGATGAAGTCCGCAAGCGCACGTTCTGGTGTGTATACCTCTGGGATAAACAACTATCTGCGCACTTTGGACGTCCCCCGATGATTCGCCTTCGAGACACTGATATTGGAGAGCCTACCGTTGTAGATGACGAGTTCATCACCCATGATGGGATGCTCTCGCAGCCCGCAGGAACGGAGAGCCGGATGAGTGCATTTATCGCCTCCGTGAGGATCATGGTTGTAATGGAGTCTGTGCTGGACATACCACCTCCGCGCGACCGGACAGGTGACTCTTCTCCATTCTTGCTACGCGCCGCGGGTGTGCTGTCTGGTCATGTGCGTCCCAAGGACCTGCGTGAAGAGGAGGCATTGCTGGACGAAATCCGCCGATCAATACCTCCGTATTGGGCGCATACATCGGAAACACTCGCGAGTGATGATGTGATCAGGGTCACCCAGGCTGTGCGTTTGCACTGCGCCGAGCAGTTTGTCAGGATGCTGATCCATCGTCATCGCTTCTCGAACTTTGTGGCGGAGAGGGCGTACAGTGCCTCGATGGAGGAGGATGCGGGGGATGTGGAGAAGGAAGAGATGAGCGCGGCGCAGTCGTGTGCGCTGCAGATTATCTCGTCGCACATGCAGGTAGCGGGGAAGGGGCTGATGACGTATTGTAAGTGCCTCATTATGGATTCTGTCATTCACTGGGTTAATTATTCGTATAAGATGGTGTGCATGTGATTCACCAGCTGACGCAAGCCGGAAGAACGCTTCTTGCCATATTGATCAACTGCAAGAGCGAGAAACTCCAACGCTTGATTCAGCCTGCAATTGAAGCACTTCGATCGTGCGTTGGTCTGCTGAGGCGGTTCAGTGGGCGATACGTGTGTGGGCAGAGGTCAGGAGACCTGATGGAGGAATTTTGTCGCCGTGAGTGCCTTGTTCCTGATGCAGTGAACCCTTGGCTGATGTACGTGAACCAAGTGACACAAATCCCTCTGGAGCCTTCACGCCCAGAAGGTCAAGAACAGTCAAGTTCGCGTCCCCCCTGGATAAGACCCATCCGCAAGAAGACGCCCAGCGTCGCCGCTAAGGGTGCAGGCAGCGATGGTAGTTCGCAACACAGCAGTCCCGAGGCTTTCTCGCCCTCCGAATTCTTCGTCGACCCCACTCTTGGAGCCACGAGTCCGAAAACGGCACCGCAGAGTGCCTTTTCGCCTACACCTGTGCCCTCGTCATCACAATATCTACGGCGGTTGTCGCTGTCGGCACCGAGTTTTATGGATCCTTCGAGTGGCATGGACATGGATGCGTCTGCGGGGATGTATCTGTCGTCACCGGCAGATGTTATGAATATGTTTGGGGATGGGTCGGTGGACGTTGCGGCGCTGTTCTCGGGCGCGTCTGATTTCAATATGGGACAACATCTCGCTGAGCCGCATGAACCATTGTACGGGCACATGAATAATTTAATTGCGACCCCTTGAGGTGGTCGCATATTTTACCTTGTATTGCGTAGCAGATATGCTGTATGATTTATTGCGGGCAATTCTATTGCTAGGTCTGTCTTCCAATCAAAATTTTGCTGTATGACTCTAGGCTTTTGCGGGATCTGGATATGGGGTTGCCTGCTTGATGGTTTGGGAAAGTCGGATTCCAGGCAAGTATTTATTGGACTAGGCCCAGAATTCCAAGAGACGCAACTGGCACGTGCTGGTGAAAGAAATGACGCGACTCGAAACAACTGCACTCACCAAACACTCGAGCTCACTCTCAACTAATTCCTTCGTTCTTTGGCTGAAATCCGCTGTGGCCAACTCGACTCGCGACTTTGCGATCCGTACCCGGGAATGCACAAACGTGTATGGACCAATATTGTCACAGCGTTCAATCTCTTGTACTCCGCCACCGCCGAACTCGCCTCGAGGAATTCGAGTTATTCTCCGAATGGTGTGAAGCGAATGCAGGACGGTCTGCACTTGCCCTTGAGCCGGAGGCTTATTCCTCAACGACTCGCGCTCGGTGCGGGCGCCGGCGTAGCAGGACTTGGAGACTTTTTCGATGTGTGAGTCTGTATAGTAGGCGAAACTCTTCTTCCAGACCAACGCTCGACCAGAACGTATAGTGTCCTGATAGACATTGGCGGGACACCCTTGCCTGTCGTGCTAGGTGAGCTTTCAAAATTACAGTAGAAACACTGTATGTGACTGAGGAGCCCACAAGACACGGGTTCCTCGGACCTCTGGGTACTGTCCGCCCTAGTGCCAGGGAACTATGCTCCTCTGAGAATACCACCCTTTATCCACCGAACACGTTCCATGATATGGGCCTCGATGCCACCCTAGTGTACGGCGACTCCCAGACTGGCACACATGCGAGAGGGATCATCGGATATGATGCGGTGTCGCTCGCGGGCTTGACTTTGCAAGACCAATATTTCGCGGCGATCAATGATACAAATACGTCTGTAGTTCAGACTGGGTGTTCCGGGATCTTCGGACTGGGGTTTCCTCTCAACAGGTGAGTGGCTGCCCTGAGACAAGACACGGGCTGTGCTGATGGCATGCGGAGTGTTATCTGGACCGACGTGTTCGTGAACCAACATCAGGTTTCGAGAGAACGAAGTCTTCATCGTGAGGTAGTTTCGCCTATCACTGTCATGTCGAGAAATTACGCAAGTCGTTGGTTTAACAAATCCATCCTCGGAATTTCCTCGTCTCGACACACCAAACCACCCTCTAACCAACCTCTTCTGCCTCAACGGAAACGTCAGACGACGGGAGCGTCCATAATTTCTTCTTTCGGAGTATCCGGGCCATTCATCCCTCGCCTTGTTTCACTCGGAGTGCTTGTCTCGCCCATGTTCGCGATTACGTTGCAGCGAGAGACAATCGAAATCGGAGGGAACGAAGGCATGTTCTCCATAGGTGGACTACCACCTGGGGTCCAAAATGAGAGCCTGACATGGATTCCTGTGCGCAAATATACACTTCAGCAAGGTGGCCTGACCCAGGATGCTCCTCATGAGGTACGTTCTACCTGGGTGTGTTGCACATGCAGCCGTTAATCCATCCGCCCAAGGCATATCCCATCGCCTGGGAGATCCCAGTGGATGATGTTTTTCTTGACGGCGTGAAACTTCCACGATCACAGCTGTCTTCTCCTAATATCTCACTCTCAGCGCTAGTTGACACAGTTCGTCATCCATATTCCAAGACTCGTACCTGATTTCTGTCTCTAACACCTCTTTGTAGGGCAACTCTCTGATTCGCGGTCCACCTGACGTCATTTCGTACATCCAGAATATGCTAGGGGGACCTCACTTCGCTTGTTCATTTCCTCATACATTGGCGTTCCAGATTGGCGGACGCCTGTTCCCTGTCGACCCAAGAGACTTCGTCAACCAGGTGCGCTCAGGAAACGTACAGGTGTGCGCGGCAAATCTTGCACAGACTGACGTGCCAGTTCTTGGTGGGGGTGGATATCTCTACAGCTGGAGTCTAGGGGATCCATTTCTGAAAGGGTAAGTGATAGTCATATATATCTTTGTCTGCGGAGACCCGTGGGGATAGAGCGGACGGAGTCCCTCGCGTAGTTCAAGCGAGTTGTGGAGCTCCGCGTCACCGTAACATCCCGCCAGGAATACGGGACAAGGGCTCCCAGAAGCCGTAGACGTAAACCTAGACACTCGTCTTTTAATTTCCTCTTGTACTTTCTTCCCGCGGACGGCTCATCTCTTCTAGTGTGCTCGCAGCGTTCTATTACGGCTCCTTCGCGGGACCTTCGCAGGACCCTCCACGCATTGGACTCCTATCTACCGTTCCTTCTGATGCTGGTCAACAGTTAGAAGACGCCGTCTCAGCTGCAGCTGTGGAACAGTACGATCTCCCTGGTAAGTGCTCGCTGCTTTCCATTGGTAGGTGATCTTATTATTTTATTGCAGGGACGAAGGTTTTGCCGCCATCCTCTCTTTCTCCTCCACTAAGCACCGGCATCGGGGGGATCCCTCTGGCATCTCTCCCACTTGGCACCGGCATCGGGGAGATCCCTCTGGAATCTCTCCCCGGTTCTGCGCATGGCTTAGGCGGGAACAACCAAGCTGGGCAGGCCAGCGGTGCAAGAGAGGGCATGCAGGTGAGCTTCGCCGCTGTTCTGTGCACTACATTTGTCACTCTAGCGATGTGGACATTTTGGAGAACATTCGCATGAGCGCCGTATCTGATGTGTATGAGTATATTGCGTTTCCGAGTCTTGGGCATTTGTATCATGTACCTTGCATTTTCGATATCTTGTAGCACCTACCCACATACGATTCTCTGTTTTTCATGTCTGGCGCTGGGTCCCCTGTCTTAAAAATTTCGATCATCGATCCCTGGTGTTGGTAGGGAGTTGATGAGTATGCAACGTGAGAAACATACTTGAGGGCAAGAAACGCAGAAGCACACGCACACTGCGAGGATACGCATCAGCAAGAGAATCCTAAAATAGCAATACTTATATGAAATTATCGTTGATCAAGAAATTACGTGACATCTTGGGACCCAACTAGCTCCAGAGGGCATTGTGCGATCAGCGGCATCTGACTCGTTTCCGCGAGTGGTGGAGGGTAGACATCGCGGCGTCAATAGCAGTGTCCGGTCAGGTTTTCTTGACATCTGTTACAGGAGGTATTGACATACATGACAAATTGACAATGATATACATGCGCCCGTGCATTCACTTTCACATCCGAATCATGTGTGGCTATTTCGTGATTCGTGAATCAGAGGTCGAACATCTGCTAAGTGTGGAAGTTCTGGAGAACGCGGAGTGCTGCTGAATCCCGATGAGGATCGTCAATCGACAGGAACGCTGTCAAAGTACTGGTGAGTAAGGATAAAGAGTCTTGTGGACGACTTCATGACGGCTCCTAGAATAACAGTGTGGTGTCGGTTAGGTACTTCCCAACACAAAGATGTGTATAAAGTCCGGCGAAGCACCAACACGTCTGAGTCGGGTTTTCAGAAAGATAGTCATATAATACACGATTCTTATCTATCCAAAAGACCAAAAGGCATGAGTTAGAACACAGGAACAGCAGAGATAATAATCGTAGAAGGTTTATTCAATGCCTCTGACCAACATTAGTTATAGTGGTATAATTATAAGTCAACCAGTGGCATTGCAGAAAATACGATTCCTACTTTCATCCCGCTGAGACACTCAGAATCGTGATTGTAAGGATGACGTTGTCCAAGGCCAGATCGAGCCGTTCCGACGCCACTGCATGGCAAGCGCCAACCAACCAGCATAAATCTGCTTACTGATTCGTGATGTCTCCCTTCATGGGCCTGGAGCAGCTCTAGGACTCAGGTGTCAGTACAGGGCTTTGATGCGTGTGTGACGGCAGTGAGAAACATAGCAAGGGCCAAGAAACGCGGAAGCATACGTATACTAAGAGAATCCCAAGATAACGGAGGTGTACAATACTACAATCTATGAAACATCACCTGAGGCGAAGAATTTGAAACCACTTACGACAGCGCAATGTTCTAGAGGTCTCTTGCGATACCCATTTGCATCGAATGGGCCGCTGAAAATGGTTCTGGGAGTCGATCGGATCTCTCGTCGAGACAAACAGAGAGGGGAGAATTGTCTATATGGAATCTAGCGCCAGCGCAGATGGCGTTGATGTGGATCACGACAACTTGCCCAGCAGTTACGGATCGTTATCATTCGAGCAAGCAGACAAATCAGCACAGCATCAGTGACATGCATTTGTCTCCGTTCGGTACACGCATGCCCGATATGTAAGATATCCTGTCGATGGCAGAAGTGCGCAGACAAGCGTCTACTATCTAGGGATCGTTGTAGGCGTTCTTCATCTAGTGGCGAAGTGGTGAAAGGGCAATTAACGACGAGTTGAGTAGGAGAAAGGCTAGTTACAGAACTCACTGTGGTGTGTGATGGTACCAGACGCATGTCCTTTCGAGCAGTATAACGGTGCACAGAATGAAAGGGATATTGGTATATGACGGGCGTTTATGAACAGAGGCAGTGGTATGGAACGCGCAACCTGAGATGCAGTAGCAGTGTGGTAATACAGCATAAACAAGAGCCGTATATAAACGCCTACATATACATGAGTTGGGTTATGGGCAGAATTCCAATGACACTCCTCACCACACACAAGATCCACAATGTCCCTGAAACTATATTCTAAACGTACGGTCTTCGTCAACTTCAAATGCTACTGACCGTTTATATCTCTGTCTAGGTCAACACAAGATATCAAGGGTGCCTGATGCAGCAAGAGATGCGGATCTCACTTTGAGAGAGCACCCGACGCCGGCGCATACAACGCGAGGTCAACCCACGCCAACTCGGATCATGCACGAGCACGTGGGCTCAGTGGTAGCATCCGCGTTCTTCAAAGATGATCGTCGGGTCGTCACTGGCTCAGTTGATAAAACTGTGCGAATTTGGGACGTGGAGAAAGGAGCATTAGTAGGATGGCCACTCAAGAGACACAAGGACAGTGTGAGATCAGTCGCTGTGTCTGCAGACGACAGGCAAATTGCGAGTTATGGATGACAAAACCATCAACATCTGGGACGTTGAGCGTTGTGTGGTCGCCTGACGGCCAGCAACTTGTCTCTGTATCAGATGACACAACAATGAGGTTCTAGAACTCATCTAACGGAAACCAGATCGGTCAACCGTGCACCGGTCACACTCAATTGGTCTGCTCGCTCGCTCGCCATCTCTTCTGATGGCTCCTTTATTGCCACTGCTTCGGACGACGAGACTGTGCGGTTATGGAGGGCGGAGACACGTCATCAGCAGATAGGACAGCCACTCACACACACCGCAGAGGTTGACTGTGTCGCAATTTCTTCCAATGGAAAGCTACTGGTCAGCGGAGACAAGGATGGGAGGTGCTGCTATGGTCCATCAAGAACACACGTTCCTCAGAATTCGGGCTGGCCTCACTATTCGATTCCCTCGCCACAAGCTTTGCTAGGAAGTGGTTGGGATGGAACCTCTATCCGAAAGACCTTTCCAACACGAAAAAGGTGCGGACGGCATGTGTCATCGTTCTAGCACCTGCGCTGATGCCGCCGATGTATAGGGTATCGCACTCCTGCCCTCCAAGTCGGACGATGCATCTGACCTATTCAGACTACGTAAGCCCGAAGAACTCACTCCCCGACTTGAAGATGATTACAGCTATGCAGATACAACGGCGCCCGCGAAAAATCGCGAAGCCTCTTGCAGTGATGACAGACACACCCTCTCTGTGCACCGCAGTTTGAAACGAAAACGTTATCCAGATGCCCTTAACGGTGCGGAAAAGGCGCGGATGCATTTCCGTCATCGTTCTACCAATTGTGTTGATACCGCTGATGCACAGATCATTGAACTCCATCCTTCATCCCATCGTGGGTACATGCAGCGCTTCACGGTGCAAAACGCTATGATGAAATGATCGAGACCTTCAAAATAGTGCTCTCCAAGTTGGATGATACTTCTGACGCGCAGATACGAAGTAGGCGCCGAATAACTCATGGGTCAAAGTGAAGATGATTAACTCAATCTCCAGAGCTGCGTCAACAATATACCAGCCCATTCGAAGTAGAAGACGCTATTAAACAAGCCATTCACACTTGACTGGAAAATGCCCCATTTCGCCTACTCAACACTTCTACTGGGTGTTTATCTGATCAGGAGGCGCAGATCAACGCCTTCAAGGAAAGCGCAGAGTATACGGAAATCTTGTCACCATCGAGGCGAGCACCCCTGCAAACGGAGCCCATCAAAGAGGCTGTCGCGAAGTATTTCAGTTGAGTCATGTTATCGCATAGATGGGAAGGGAAGGAAACGCGGGTGCACGACATTCAAGACAACGACGTGTACACGTTGTACCCAGTTGGAAACGTCGTGAAGTTGCAGAAGTTTTGTCAAGTCGCCCGTGATGCCGGGCATCGCTGGGCGTGGAGCGATACATGTTGCATTGACCAGAATAACAATGCTGAGGTCTAACGATCGGTTAACTCAATGTTTGTCTGGTATCGCAACTCGGCTCTTACGATAGTTCACCTGTCAGATGTATCGCCTTCGTCGAAGTTTGGTGCACTCGCAGACAGCACTTGGAACACACGAGGATGGACCGTTCAGGAATTCCTTGCTCCTAAAATTGTTCTCTTCTACCAAGGAAATTGGGCTCTCTACCTCAATGACCGCTCTTCCAACCACAAGGAGTCTGACACTATCATGCAGGAGTTACAGCATTCCACAGGCATAGATGTGCAGTCCCTCGTCACTTTCCGTCCGGGGATGACAGGCGCGAGAGAGAAACTCTAGTGGGCGTCGAGCCGTGTCACCACGTTGAAGGAAGATATTGCATACTCATCGTTTGGCATCTTCGGCGTCCATTTGAATGTCATCTATGGCGAGATGAAACAAAACGCGCTCGGACGACTCTTGCAGGAGATTATAGCACATTTGGGGGACATTTCTGCCTTGGCCTGGGTTGGACAATCATCCAACTTCAATAGTTGTATTCGAGCTGAAATTGCCTCATACAAAGTTCCGCCATGTCCGCTGCCATCTCTATCCGAAGACGAAATACAGACATCCGTCTCCACATTGCAAAATACTGTTCCCGTGGAGTCGGCTTCGAACCTGTATGCCCTCCTTGCTTGACAACCTCAGTGCTCCTCGTTTCGCAAATTCCAGACTGCCTCTACCTTGCATTATATTTCCTCTCACAATAGTCAGACGGAGCCCTGTTCAAGACCTGAAGACATGTCTCACATACGAAGTCAAAGCAGACGGGCTTCAAGACATGTTAATCACCACAGAAGATAAGCTGATTCCACTCTCGCGGGTAAAGTCTACTCGGCAGCCATACTCGCTCGTCCGTCCGTGGAATCGTTATGGCCTCGAGCTGCCTGACCTCGCGGAGGGCGTGGACGATTGGTCGGAGCCTGGGTCTCCATTAGACAATTTGCTCAACGGGTCTTCTCGAGACGACGAGCCGGCTGATTCGGAGTCTTATTTGCGAGCGTTGAGGTTGATCGTTCGCCTGGGTCAGCCTTTTGGCGCACTTTTGCTAGCGCAGCAGCGTGGTGGAAAGTATAAGAGAATAGCGTCGGATAACAATATCATTGCACGTGTCAAGAACATGACCTCTGTTCGTGACATGATGGATGTCAGGACGCTAGAGATTTTGTAGATGCATCTCGAAGAACGGGAACTCTGACGCGTCTTCATTCATACCTTGACAGTACATGCGTGGAACATTCTCCCCAGGCATTTGTATTATATCATACGCCGATTCCTTACACCAGGAAATCAAATCACTGCCATGATTGTACATGGGACTGAGTCATCGTTGGGAGCACCAACTGAAAAGGTCCCTACCGCATCAGGGCTAGGTAAACTAATTCTGATGCTCCGACATTACCCCGTCCCTTGGCTCACAATACATCACATTCTTCGTGAGCGAGTTCCTTTCATCTCGCCCGTGAATTTCTTCACATCTCATGGCACCCACCATCACTACGAAGGTGCCACTGCGGCGCTCGAGAGTGTCGTCCTCACGGTAAGGTTAAAGGGAGAGTCAAAATACCAACCATTGCCACCCTCCACTATCATCAGCGACGAAGCCCGAGTAAGTAACATAGATAATATCATATCTTCTCACAACAGTCATTTGACTCGTTCACATTCTGCTTTCCATTAACACCGACAACCATACGCTCCAACTACACACTGGCCAAAATGTAGTCCCACACTCTGTTTATGCAAACCGCAATTACAATTTTAAAATGAGGATCTTAAATGAGGATCTGCCTTTAGAACGAATACATGGGACAGGTCCTATAGCCGACTTACGTTCCGGTCGGTTTCAGGTGCAGCTGCTCCCCTATTATAATTCAACGATAAGGGGGAACTATATGATGCCTTTGAGCTCGACGTCAGCACATTGAAGACTCAGACACTGCTCACGGGTGTGGGAGATTCGTAGATCGCGAAAGTCACGCTCTCGGTGGCGTCCGGGTTCCCGTTATCTGAGAGAACCGAGGTGGTCAATGCAGCACAGATGGCGAAGCATGCAAAAAGTCGCATGATAGATAGCAGTAGTTGGACAGTCTAACTTTAAGTTATGTTAGTCTATCTTGCGACTCTTGTCGCATTTTATATTGGCCATTTCCCTCGACAACGTGGCTGTAGTCAGTTTCAGTTCCATCGAATTTAATTGACGGGATCAATGACGGGTTGCGCTGGATTGCGCTGGCAGAATATAGGCTATACCGTGCTGCATGAATCAACCTAGAGGCCGATCGAGTCGGTATGATGTCAGAAATTTCTGCTGCCGTCTCGTAGAAGCACTCAGATATCCCGAGGATCGTGATCGATATGTGCCTGAAAATGATCGTAAGCATTGCCCAAGGCCAAGGTGATGAGTTAGAGCAAGTCAGTGATCGAGCCGTTAGGACCCCACCACATGGCAAGCACCAATTAACCAGCATATCGTATAGCGGCGTGGTGTGATAAAATAAAATCTGCTTACTGATTAATGATGTCTGCCCTATGGTAGCCTATGGCCCTGGAGCAGCGCTAGGACTCAAGTGTGAGTAATACGATAGATAAGCCGGGAGCAAGCCCCCCGCACCTGAATAGGGCTATGTCCAACATAGGGTCTACGGCCCCAAAGGACAATAAATTTGATTTGATTTTTTTTTTAAAAAAAAAAAAAAAAAAGGGCGAGTACCGGGCTGATCGCACCTTAATGAATATATGCAATAGCGGTGAGCAAGTTGAATCCCCATGGTGCAAGAAACGTGGCAGCACACGCACACCGCAAGCGTACCAATATGGCAAGAGAATTCCAAGATATCGGAGGGTGTGCAGTCTATGAAATCATCACCTGGGACAAAGAATTTGAAACCAGACCCCTGCTTACGAGAACGCATAAAATATGATGAGCAATGAGAACATCCCCGACACCCACTTTAGTGGGAGAGGGTTCATGCGCTGGAAGAGTTTTGGTACAGTTTATTTCCGTGCCTCTACTACTAGTAATCACGGGGATATCGGCTGACCGAGGAACAAGGCCGAGCCGATATGCTCCCCGTTACCCTATGTGTCGTCGTCAGTTATGATATGAATGACAGAATATTTTGGCGGGGGGAGGAACGTACAAGCGTAGCTACCAGATTACACTGCCCATAGATGTCGGGGACTGGCGCGGCCGAGCGCCGTTACGATTTTTTATAGGTCACTTTGGATATCTTGAATGCGTAATTGTACCAAATGTGTTCGCTGATGACGGTTCTGTGAGTTGATAAAGCATTTAGTCGAGCCAAGTAGAGAGGGAAACTGGCTACATAAAATCTGGCGTCAGCACAGATGGCATTAGTGTAGACCATGGAAAGCTTGCTCAGAAGGTATGGATTGTTATCATGCGGGAAAGCAGGCAAACCAGTACACAATCAGTCGCTGCTCGAGAGACGTGCCCAATATGTAACATCCCATCGGTACCAGAAGTGGTAAGACATCAACGCCCAGCGACCTTTTTGATCTCGCAGCGAAGCAGGGTGCATTATAAAGGATTATGAGAAATGAGTTGAGTACAATAAATGTATGGTTGCAGCGGTGACTTGTGGTCGTGCTTTCCAGCGAGTTCACTGTACACAGAATGAAGGGGTATGTAACTTGGATATGATGGGCGTTTGTGAAGAGGGACAGTGATAATAGAAGACACAAGATGAGATCTGCGCCGTAGCCACGTGGTACGGAGCCAACAAGAACCCTGAATAAACACCTATGTATATGAGTTGGGTTATGGGCGACATTACTTACCACACACAAGATCCCCAACTCAACGATATTTTAAACGTATGGTTCTCGTGAACTTCAAATACTACTGACCTGACCGTTTATCTCTCTGTCTAGGTCAACGCGAGATGTCAAAGGTACCTGACGCGGCAAGAAATGCGAATCTCGCTTTGAGTGCGCAGCCGGCGCCGGCGCAGACAACGCAAGGACAACTGACGCCAACACGGATGATGCGAGGGCACACAGAAAATGACGGCATCCGCGTTCTTCAATGATGGTCGACGGGTCGTCACTGGTTCAGCTGATAAGACCCTGCGAATTTGGGACGGGAGAAAGGTGCATTGATAGGAGGGCCATTTGAGGGATACAGTGACTAAGTGCAAACAGTTGCCATATCACCAGACGACAGGCGATTTGCGAGCGGTGGAAGTGATGGCATCATCATCTGGGACGTCGAGAGCAAGCAGATAGTATTGAAGTATAAAGGCGAAGTGACCTCGGTGTGCTTCTCCCGACGGCAAGAAACTCGCAAGCGGTTCGGGTAATTCAGCGGTTATCGTAAGGGATGCAGAGACTGGCGCTGTCCTCAGAACATTCATCTGTCATAGTTGGGGGGTGGAGTGTCGCCTTCAACCCAGATGGCCTAAAATTAGCCGCCGGATTATGGGATCGTACTATCTGGGTTGGCGCACCGATAACGCCGAACTTCTTCTCAATTTCTACGCTCATCAAGATTGGGTTCGAAGCGTGGTGTGTTCACCTGATGGCCTGCAACTTATCTCTGTATCACTCGAAGAAGCAGTCAAGTTTTGGAACTCGTCAAATGGAGACCAGATCGGTCACTCTTGCATCGGTCACACTAACTCGATCAACTCCCTCACCATTTCTCCTGATGCGCTCCTTCATTGCTACTACCTCGTTCGACAACACTGTTCGGCTGTGGTGCACAAAGACACACCAGCACATAGGAAAGCCACTCGATCACACCGCTGTGGTCTGGTGTCTGGCAATTTCTCCCAATGGAGAACTGCTCGTCAGTGGAGATGAAGAAGGGAATGTTCAACTCTGGTCTATCAAGGAGTTACTCGAGCCACGCAAGGCAGATGAAAAGAAAAAGGATGCACAGAGACAGCTACTGCTTCCTCTCAGTGACACGCATGTGTGCTTTCGCCCTCAAGTGTTTTGCCTGTCTGTTCATTCATATTGTTCTCGGCGGCGACACTCAGTCGCTCAGTCACAACACCAACGACGAGCCCACTGGTCATCACGACAGCCCAAGCAATCGTCTCTCGGAATCTCACGAAGCCTCTGACAGCGACAACCGACAATCATCATTTGAGGTGATCAAGGTACTCCCATCGCTGTGTTTGTAGTCGGCCTTTGATGTCATTTTGTCCAGGCTGTTGCACTTTTCAATGCTGGTCGTCATGATGAGGCATTGCGGCGGGTTCAAGAACTCCCCACCGCTTATCAACGCTCAGATACACTTCTGTGCGGCGTTGTCAATATGAGCTTCATGTCAGATCAATCATCATTTTTCTCACGTTCGTTCGAACACACTCGTCAGTTGTATCTACATGTGCAGCTTGCAATAATCGCTTTCGACGACGGGCGGTACAACGAAGCCGCCGATCTACTTAATGATAGTATTCCCTCTATAACAGACTTATCCCTTTGCGGAGCACTTTTTGAACCTAGATTGAAGATATTCACGCTGGTGCGTCACTACGAAGCCACGGAGTACCCTTTCACTGATTGATGATGTATTGGACAGCTCTTCGGCTGGGACTTGGATTCCTTATGGCAAACTGTCAACAAAAGAAGGTGTGAAGCATTCCTGCGTGCCGATTGCGTGATCGAAGCGGTCGAATCCCATCAATACGTGATGGACATGATTGACGAAGATGAGAAGGACAATTACCTCGAATGGTCTACTGGTGAGTGTGTTAGGTCTCGGACACAGAACATTGACGCTCATTCTAGTGTCAATTAGCCTTCAAGCAGGACTGCGCTGCACGCTGTGTCACGAAGGGAGACGCAGCTACTGCCGCAAGCAACTATGGGACGGCTATTGAACTGTATTCGGCAGGGATCGCGCTGGATTCTTCATGCCACTGCCTCTTTGCGCACCGCAGTAAGACGAATTTGGGACGAAACCGATATGTGGAGGCACTTCACGATGCGGAAAAGGTGCAATATCCATCGTTTTTCTGGGTGATTGTGCTGATTGTGCTGATGCATAGGTCATCGAACTAAACCCTTCGTCTTATGTTGGGTACGAACTAAAGTATGCAGCGCTTCATCGGAGTACAACGCGATGATGAAGCAGTCAAGGCCTTCAAAACAATGCTCTCCAAGTTGGATGTTGCTCCATATATACAGATACGAAGTAAGCTCTGCAAAACTCACCGGTCAACTTGAAGATGATGACCTTTTCTACAGCGCTGTGTCAGCACTATGTAAGCCCATCAGAAGCAGAAGACACTATTTGACAAATCATTTACGCTCAATTGGAAAATGCCCCGCTTCGTCTACTCATTCCCAACCCTTTCCCATTACCCGTTTTGTTGATGCTTCCACTTCATTTGGTATCGGTATCCTTGCTGACTCCCGCTGGCTTGCTTGGGAATGATTGGATGGCTAGAAGGCAGATGGTCGAGACATCGGGTGGGCAGAAATGGTAGCGATTGACCTCGGTCTTCGCACCCTTGTCCACTCGGGTCTTCGTGACGCGCATGTGCGGTTCCATTCCGACAACCAGGGTGTTGTTTGAGTCCTCGAAGCTGGTCGTTCCCGTAGGCCAGCCCAAAATTACATTCTGCGCCATCTTTCCTCCTTTGCTGACGACCACGACATCCGTATCTCTGTTGAATGGGTGAAGTCGGCCCATAACCTGGCAGATGGTGTCTCTCGTGGCGTCTTTCCCACTTCCGGCTCTCGTTTCAGCTCCCCTCCTCCCTTGCCCACTTACCTCATACCCTTCGTCCTCTTGGTGTAGTTTGGTAGTTCCCCTGTTTATCATCGTTCTCCCCTCATGACGTGCTATCTTGTCTTCTCACCCAATCCTTCTTACTACTCATCATTCGATATCACGGTGCCTCCACACATACCACCCTCGCTACATCGAGATGCAGCAGAAGAAATAAGTAGCCGAGGACTCCTTTTTGACATCGCTGATGTCACAAATCCCTGTGCCTTGAGCCTCCCGTTCCCAAACTATATTACACATACCCTGCCTCTTCATCCCCTGTTAACGCAGAGTCATACGAGCTGCCAGTGCGACATCCGTCGTCGTCGTCCTCGCATGATTGAACCAAATCCCGTTCGCCTCTGCAGATTCCGCCGTATCTCGGCACCTGGCCGACCACCCTTGTATCCACTTCACGGCCACGATGCTAGCGAAAGTGGTTATTAACCGGAAAAATTTGATACCCTAAGAAGACCAAGTAGATCGCTCGCTGGCACGGGACGAGCCGCGGATGCCATGAGGTTTTTTTGGCTTCTGCTGGTCGTCGATGTATCATAAGAGATGTTACGAAACGGTTGTACTCACCGGCTTTCCAATTTCTCTGACCCATCTACCTCTTACATCTTACATCTTACACTACCAATGCTCTTCTGCGTGTCACATGGATTATCTTCCACGGCTTTTTGGTAGCATTATGTATTTACATGGACTCGTAGTCGGTACTACTGAGATAGTCATATGTTGTCCTTCATTTGTTCGATACCAAGCCAAAGACTTTTGACATATTTGCTAGCGTACCTAAGATGAAGGAACCAGAGAAACCAAGCCCCTGCTTACACATAGACCCGTCAAGAGCGATGTCAATTCTTTGCCCAAGGTAACTTGAGATATCTTAAAGGAGTGTTTGCGTCGAATGCCTTCGCTGATGATGGTCCCGGGAGTCAATCAAGCCTCTCATTGAGACAGCGGGAAGGGGAAAACTGCCGGCACGCACTGATCTGGCACCAGTGCCGCATAGAGTATACCGCCATCATGATGAACCAGCCCAGGCGCTGGTCGCGTTGGTACGACATTGTCGGATTTCTACTGTCGTCTCGTAGATACACTCAAATATCTCGAGGACGGGGATCGATATATGCCTGAACATGATTGTAAGCATTGCTCAAGGCCAGGGTGACGAGTTAGAGAAATCCGTTAGGACACCACCAGTGCGCACGACAAATACCAATCAACCAGTACTAGTATAGCGTATAGCGGCATGGTACGATAAAAAAAATCTGCTCAGTGATTAGTGATGCCTGCCCTACGACCCTGGAGCAGCGCTAGGACTCAAGCATCGGTATGGGGTTGATCACACCTTCATGAGTATGCAAGGGCAATGAGAACCACCTTGGTGCAAGAAACGCAGAGACATACGCATACGGCCAGCATACGCATACGGCAAGAGAATGGAGGGTGTGCCATCTATGAAACATCGCTTGAGACGAAGAATTTGAA